GTGTAAATTCTTTTTACAAAATTCGAAGGAAGTTTTATGTGTCTTTGAAATCTTGCATATAAAATTGTTCTCAAATTGAGGGTAGGATTTAGAAATGACGCCCCTATGTCAAAATCGAATATATGTTTGACGTAAGTGAGTCAGACTTAGCGCTGAGTTTCCTTTCTGAATATGTCCGAATGAGCCGAACATAGAAGAACTACTTTTCTGTGTGTTTTGCTGATGTTACTTAGGCGTGTATCTTAAATAAGAATGTTTTGATTGACACGCTATGTTATTTCAACAGAACTGTGCTGTGGTCAGAATCGCGAATGGAGTTATGGCGTCACTCTTTTATATGTCCAAACAAATGAAGGCAGTCAATGAGTACCAACGTTTGAATTTAACCGTTTGATACAATTTACAAAACACCATGCAAACAAACAGTTAACACGATCAATGGCTTTTGAGTGTCCGCCAAAGAATTATGCTGAACGCTGAATCTCATTAACAGCATCTGCAAATAAATGAGGTCGTGATAACAGTGCACGCGACACTGTGAACTCAAAAATAGAACTATAATTGGTATACGAAAATAGTATGGAGCAAGGATTACCCAGACTTTACTGGCAATCTAGCAGGCTTTGTTTTTTCTTCTTTTCAGTCGGTAGTTAGTCTGGGCGTCGTGGATTGTAAGCAAATCTGTTTCCACCGGTTTCTGTCCAGCGTCTCTTCACAGTGGTGAGTTTTGAGGACGACGAGTCTTTCGCTTGATTTAATTTGGTTGAACGGCCACGAGATCTTTTGCCTTCTGTGTTGTAACGACCTGTTTATTCAAGTGCTCATCGCCTCGTACGTTGTCTGCATTTGTGTGTATTGTCTTTGATAGTAATCATTAATTACTTAGAGATAGCTCGCTATCGTTCTCTTGCTGACCATGACTCATAAATAATGTAATTTTTTGTTTATATTTTTTTTAAATTAAGCATCTCAGTGTATTCAGAAAGTGTTTAATGGTCTTAAATTGGTACGGCTTTTGTTACCCTGGTTACTTTTTGTATGAAAATAATACTGTTAACGGTAAAAAACACGTTTTTAAGGCCGAGAAAAAGGTATTATATTTAAATTTATATTTTCTATCAATATTTTTCATTAAAAGCTCTATTAGGCAAGCAGACAACCAAGTGATCAGCTGATTATTCATCACCACTTATGAATATATTACAATCCATGTGAGAAGTGTACACCACAGCACCAGTCAAGTGAGAGCCGTACGACCCTTAAGTAGGGAGGTGGGGTGGGATCAGGTTAAGCTGTACGTGACTCCTAAGCCAATACTGCCTCTATGTCCAACAGGTAAGACCCGATATTGCATGACGTAGAAACGGTGGAAGAAAACGTGCATAATTTACGCGCGTCCGATAAACGCTCACGATTGTTATTACGCGATTGCGTTTATTGGATTTGGCTGGCGTCGCGCTGCCGTCGCGAGATAATGTCGTCCAGATGTTTAATAAAGGCGGGCACCTACTGCGCAAGGAATCGAATTATCCGTCTATCTATAGTCTGTAGCAGCGGAAACTTAATTAACTTTTCGGTTAAGTACTCCTTTGAGGTCCTTGCTTGATGAAAGTTGTCTCTTCTTGATGACTCGAAATACATTATTATTGTAACAAAACCCTAAGCATATTCAATTTATAATTACTGGATAGGTATATATCAATAATACATATTTTCTTATAGATAAGAGCGGTAAAACAAACATTTACATTTCCAATTCATCTTGGCAATCTACTAGTAATTTCGTGGAAAGGCAAAAGTCGTGTGTTTTTTACGGGCTAGTCGCAGGCTTGAGGCACGTAATTTACGCGTGAGTGGTCACCGTGGCTGGTGATTACGGCTCCTGCCTCGCCCTGATAATCCCGGTCCAATGCTTGTGACGTGTGTTAAGGATGCTTATACACTGTACGACATGCGATTTAAAAATCATGCTAAATTTATTTAAAAAGTAGATAAAGTGTATTAGATATTAAACAATGATTATGGTTTATTTTAATTAATGTAAAATACCTATAAAAGTTCAACATAACGTTAATTTTTAGTTTATTGTTAATTAATGAAGGTAATGTTCGTCAAGTTTCCGTTTCTGTCCAGACCTCCGAAGTGTAAAAAAAAATCCTTACGTCATTATGGTTTTGTTACACGTAATAAAGAGTAATACTTTAACAAACCTTCGTCAATCGTCAGTGACATTAAAATTATTAAATTCAATAGTATTGTGATTAAACTATCAAAGTACTATCTTATTAAGTAAGTTTCAACCCAAAACTATGTTTGTTCTAGAGATACACAGATAAATTCTCCGTTCTCAGAACATCGCTGTGTAGTGTGTACTTACATTATGTCTGCGTAGAGCAAAGGGCATATTAGCAATTAAGAATTTAATGATATTATAACGCAAGTGAAGAAACTATAGACATTTAATACGTAATATATACACATATAATATGTCTGGTAGTCGCGTCGCACTACATGAACCGCCTATATCGCTAGTGATTTGGAACGGAATCGCCGCCCGACGGACGTGGCGTGGGCGCGGGTCATTAAGATGGCGTCGCGTCGCGTGCGCTCGTTACGCCACCCGGGGCTGGGGCTAACTCGATTATACATTCACTGCAATAGCCTAATTCGAGATGTCTTCGATTTGCTATACGTTGATGGACGGATTCAATAATCTAACATTAATAAGATTATTGAGAGAATAGCGCTTTGATTGTAAATTTTAGACTTTATTATTCGATATAAAGATTCAAATATTTGTTAATTTACGTATTCTATATAATTTGAAGCTTATACTATATATATGAACACATAAAAAGTATCTAGTGACAATGAAAATCTTCGCAACAAAATATTTTGACTATTTCATTTTAGTGCGTTCAAAAGTTTGTAATTAAATCACGAAGTAATTTTTTTCTCCATTTTTATCCATTTCAATATAGAATATAATATAAAATTAAACAGACTTGAAAATGAATTAAATATATTAAAATCATCCAGATCGATCCACGGACGCGGATACACAAAAAAATAACGCGTTGAACTGACAACATCATCTCAACATCATATGTCTATTTGCCTTTTTATAAAAATAAAAGAAATCTCATACTAAGAATAACAGTATTACTTTTTATACGATTATATACACGTGTAACTATTTGAACTGAGTTGACCCATTATATATCTTGTATATAGCAGTATGTTCTCGAAACTCCATTGTGCCAACGGCGGGGGCCAGGTGCCGTATCGTGCCACCGTCGAGGGACCCGAGCTTAGAACGTTGTCCTGAAAATCCTCTGTACATTTGGAAAACCCTAAGGGCGCTGTCACAGTTTTGCTCTTATTTAATACGTATACTGCATGTATTCAGATTGGTTAAGATTTGTCTATGTAGTATAGAATTGATAATTGACAAATAATTGTCCATAAAAAAACATAAGTTTAGGTTGGTGATGTATCGTTTGCCATTAAGATACTTAACAATCAGGTAGATTGGTCAACCTTTTAACAAAATTTAAATTTCGTGTACCCAGTAGATATCCCAGACATCCCATCATACCATTTTCTGGAGAACGAGTTTTGGCCAAAATTCACCGATGTCCAGATTGAGCATTCTGTTAAACGAGCTGGATCTGGATATCCATAGTTGCTCCTCTCACACTTTAAGAGCGATTTTCGTTTAATGTTTATCTAAATTATATAATTGTTTTGCTTAATTTCTTTTTATTATTTCTTATATGCTATGTTTGTAAGTGCTTGACACATTAAACATTGTATTTTATTTTTCTTTTATCAATGTATCAGTGTGCCGAGCATTGGCAAGCTTTTATAAATAAATAAATATACTAAACTAACATTAAAAGCATTCGTATCAGATCAAAGATTGAAGATTATCTTGAATCGAGTAAATATATACCAGTTGATTGCATTATGAAAGAAAAAAATCCAGACACTACAACTCTGCTTTTGGCTTCAGATTTCTGTATTCTATATTCTATATTATTTTCTAATAGGCAAGTTGGTGACCTGCCTTTCTTTTTAGGGGCTAAGGTATCCCGTTTTCCTCACGATGTTATAAAAATGCCCGTGTCAACGCGCACAGAAAACTCCATTGGCACACTACTATGTAATGAGTAAAATACTAACTGCCTTATTGAAAACTTACAAGAATACAAATTTTTCATTTTTTTATTGAGAGATAATTATTGTTTGTTGTTCAGTGGCAACTTATCTATTTAAAATGTAAATAATTTCCTATTCTTAAAACGAAGAATTGATAAACTAAATTTAATCACTGCACTGTAGTAAATGTGATTCAGTTTTATAAATGTGAGACTTTTCATTCGATATTTACAAAATTTTTTATTCCCTTATAAACACCGCCCTACAAAAACGTGTTGGCCATCGGACGCGGCCCGCGGAATTCCATTTAAAGATGTCAGGATAATTTAGCGCTGACGAGGCGAAGGGCAAATTGACGCGCCCCTAGGCGACTACGTATCGATCACGAATACGCAAGGGATGTAAACAGACCCCCTTGCGATGGAAAAACGTGATGTCACAATACTTACGACACTGAAGTACACGAAACAAAACACTGTCTGGATAATACTATAAATATCTGGATATTTTTAAAGTATACAAGCTAAAAATGAGGAAACCGCCATACCTAAGACACAAAATTGACCACGTGTATCGGACACAGGCGGCTGATCACCTACCTATCTTTCCCTATATCTATTGAATGTTTTGTCGTAATCGTTATCATGAGAAAATGCATGACAGAACTATTTATTTATTACAGAAATACAGTAAAATTAAAATAATCATTTAATTTTAAAAAAGGCTGCAAATCGCTTTCGGACGATGTCTTCAACCACGATTATAATTAATTTTAATGAAATGCAACGAAAATGAGTAATTCCAAATAAATCACCGAATGTATAAATTAAATTGGCAAGATGCTGGAAACAATAAAACTTATGCCAAAACGTGCTATACGAGGTATACAATTATAATTATAGGTCCGACAATTATAGTTAATCCAGAAGGTAATTAAACTGTGATTATCTAACAGTATTGACCAACCTTGCCTATATATAACAAATAAACCTAATTAATTTGTCATTAAAACACTCTATTAACCAACACGGGTGTCTCAACCACGATTGCTAATAAATCCTTTTACATCTTACATAATATTATATATGAACTATACATATTACTTATTATTAATCATCATTTTTCATGATATAATTACAATACATTATGTACAATTGCACATAAGACATAGTCTATAAATGTCAAATCATGAAGTTATCTTAAAATAAAACAAAAAAAATTAATAGCCTTAAAAAATAGTTACTAAAATATATTTTAAGTAAAATATGTAAATATATTAAAAGGAATCCCTTTAAATAAGTTCCCCCTTTGAATAGCTAGAGTAATTCTTTGTTCGAGCTGCCAGCTCTTCGGTCTCCTGTGATAACGACTAACCTTTTTGCTATTTCCTTAAAAAATAAACTACTACTACTAGTACTTACTTATTTATTACTTTCATAAGGTTACTTGTAAGACAATACACATATATAGATAAAAGTTTTATTCGAAGAATTCGTAATCAATTCGGCCTCACAAAGGAAGTCTCTAGGTGTCTATTCACGTAGCTTGTCTGAGTGGCGAAAACCTCTCATCAGCATTCGACGCCACTTCACAGTACTCGACACCTGGTGACGTCATCTACCAGAGAAATAGGGTATTTAGTCTATGTTCTAGTGTCTATGAAATTTTTCTTACGAATAGACGTCGAAAAAATATATCATAGAAGATGGTGTTATTGTAATGAATATTTGAAAAACTCTATTTTGACAATCAGTTCCTGAGTTATACACATATGTATATAGTATATACATATATATATATGTTGCAACTCAGGAATAAAGGTTAAGCCCGATTAGTTCAATATTGATTTAAGACAACAATGAGCTGTAGGTACAAGACGGTATCGTTCCATTGGATCTATTGGGAATTTACTTTATGTATTTAATTACTACAACCTAGGCTGTGAAATTAGTAAGACTGATACTATCTGGAGGTCAAAAATATATTATTGGAAACATAAAGAAATAAGGACCGATCGTATAAATTTATTTCGACTTTAATTTAATTTAATTTCGTCGAATGAAACTGATAAATAGCTACCTATATTTACGGGTTTATTATTACTAAACGAAAAAGCGTGAGCAACACAAAGCTTAATCCAAGACTGACTCCCCAACAAAGACATTTAAGATATTCGCGAGTGAACAGTGATATTAAAATGACCTGGACTGCTCAAAGGGAGTAAGACAAAGGATTCAAAGTCCATCTGTGGAAGGATTGTGATTAAACCCTCTCCCCATACAGTAACAAGTAACAAATTAATAAAGAAAACATTTAAAAAATATATATTAGATAGTGGTTAATTTAAATTGATTCATTTCCAACATAAATATACAATATTCTTAACCTACACAGTAATAATAATAAAATAATTATATTTTTCACAAATAATAAGCGTGACCGGTTTTAGACTGACATTCGATTTAGGTATATATTTATGGAAATACATAGTAAGCTTAATTCGTACCGAGATTAGTTTATTTTATTTGTAATAATTTCTAAACTAATATATAACAAGTATAACAGAAACTATCACCAATATAGTCTTCCGTTGAACCCTCCCAGCGCGACCCGTTTAAAGATTCAACATAGCCGCGGGCGAGCGGCCACTCGGACCCCTTTGAAGATATTCGCCTTCATTAGCACGGGTCCGCTCGACCCCGCGGGGACGTCGCTCGACGTAATTGCAAAACACGCGTTCGAGTTGTATCCGAGCTTTGGGAATCTCCTTACTGCTAGTTGAAGTTTGCTTATTATATTTGAATAGTGCACGCTTGTTAAATATTCTATTATAGCATGTTAACATAGCCTTTGACTAGTTAGAACTGGGGAAGTGGTATTTGTCGACCGTCAGATGTGTCACTTGAATTTCCAGTGCAAATGGTTGATTCATACACATTTTAAAGTAGTCTAAAATACTATCACGATTATAATTAATTTTCGTGAACAGTGTTGGCCTAGTGGCTTCAGCGTACGACTCTCATACCAGAGGTCGTAGGTTCGATCCCCATCTATGCACCATTGGACTTTCAGTCTATGTGCGCATTTTAACATTCGCTAGAACGGCGAAGGAAAACATCGTGAGGAAACCAGCTTGCCTTAGACTCAAAAAGTTGGCGTATGTTAGACACATGGCTGATCACTTGCCTATCAGATTGATAAAAGATACTATATACACTACTGATAATACAGAAATCTGAGGCCCAGGCCTAAAAAAGGTTGTAGTGTCACTGTTTTTTTAGGTTTTGCGAAATTAAATAACATACTGTTTCTATAAACATAACACATTCATAAATAAATTATATTATTTAAATTTCAAACGTATATATAATACAGAATTTGCGTAAACTAAATTGCGTAAGCTAAATTTGTTTCATAATGTAGGCATGTCGGACAAAGATAACTTTTAACTGTATCTCGTGACGTTACCGCAATACTGACTTACTAGCCATTAATTTAAGCACAGTTAAAAGGCTCTAGCATAATCCTTATTTTACTATCGTCCGAATCCCCACATCGGTATCAAGTGGGCAAATAAAGAAGGAAACAACTTAGATGGAGTAGAGCCGGACCGCGTTCGCGACTAATTAACCCCACCCGTCCCACGTGGGGTGGACCCCCCGTCAACGATGGAGGGTTGACCTGGAGTAAAAAATATGCGACTGCCCCCGCGAGACGATGCGACCGCTTTTAAGAATTCCGCGCACCGAGTGCAGGCTTATTGAGCTCGTGTGTTTTAATAGTTCTTGCTTCTTTTGCTTTCCGTTTTAATTCGGTTATTTTTGTCAAGTTGGTTCAGAACCAGAATCTGTCACTACGTTATTTAAAGACTTCGTTTTAGTTGAGAAAATGTTTTAAACATTTGGAATCAAAATATAACGTAGACAAAGATTTAAGTAAAGTCATTTACTTGGCAATAAAATTTTAATAAACCTGACATTTTCCAAGGTAAACAAATAAACAATGTCATTTTTGCCATACATACAACTACAGGAACTTACAAAAGATTATCTTAATTCTCTCATTGCCCTCAAATTATTTAGATATGTAACGAAGATAAAAACTTGTTATGATCGTGTTCTATAGTCTATTGTAGTTGTCTTTGCCTTGGCTCTAGTGTGCCCATGTCACGTGGTATCTATGGAAATACTTAATAATTCCTATAATACAACTCAAGTCGTTAATAATACGCCTGATACAATCCAGCTTTCGTGTTGAAATGATCAATTAACTATATTTAAAGAGGCACGCTGGCATTTGAACGAGTCGTTTTCTAATGGCTATTAAAAGCGCAGGTTATGCGGGTCCATAGAAAAAGTCCCTTGGTGCTGAGTCGCAGTGAACCGTAAACCTTTCGTGGGGGTTGATCGATTTACGACCTATTTACGATCACGTCAAGGGCCGCGGATACACTGCAGGTGCGTTCACTCATTATTTTTCTGCCTTAGGTTTTCCCAGTAATAACTTTTTATAGAATCGCATTCTTTTAGTACTTATGAGATGTGTAATAATATAATTAAGCAACTTATCTTTATGTTGCTATCTAAATTGGCGTTTTGTTAAGCAATTTTTCTTGTAGATGGAAAATAGTGATATCAGTATTCCTATTCCAGATCGGCGTTTCTATACGAAATTGTTGTACAAATATGGATAATTTATTTTATTTTATTTATTGAGAATGATTCACAGCTTATAACTACTACTAATTAAGGAGGTCTTTTTACGCCATTAAACAAATCTTTACATATAATTAAGTAATTAACAATTAAATGGATTGTTAACAATTAAGTCATTTCAGAGTAACTATATATTATATTTATTAATAATAATTTATTTATATAAGCAGTAAATTTTTATATGGTTATTAATGTTTTAGTTACAATATTGTCGTAAATATTATATTAGTAGGTAACTATGATAATAATGTCCTTGAAATGAAAGTTATGAATAAAACTTTAAGGGCCAACACGGCATAGTGGCTTCAGATTGCACCTCTCATGCATGAGTTCGTAGGTTTGTTCCCCGGCTGTGTATCAAAGGACTTTCTGTCTATGTGTGCATTTAACATTCGTTCGACCGGTGAAGGAAAACATCGTTAGGAAACCGGCTTGCCTTAGACTGAAAAAGTCAAGCACAGGAGGCTGATCACCTACTTGCCTATTAGATTGACAAATGATTATGAAACAGATTCAGAAATCTGAGGCCCAGACCTAAAAATGTTTTAACGCCTTAAACGCCACTGATTTATTTATTTTAAAAATTATTTTTCGACGATCGTTCAAGACAAATATTTCTTTCGTCAAAAAACTGTTGATACTTAAGGATATCTTAAGGTATGCCTAGTAAAACAATCTTTTAGCGTTGCGAGAAACTGTAATTTATAACCGAGGACACGGTTAACCGTTTTAACGACAAAAGGTGCGTGTAACATTATACAGGCGAAGTGAAGGGAAAAACATTGCATGTTGCGGTCAGCGGGACCCGCGGGCGGAAGCGTTGTCGCGATGCGCCCGCGCCGCCGTGGGAGGCGGGCGCGGGGAGGGGAAAGGGCAGACAGGATGCGGTCACGCACGTTCGCGAGATTTTATCGAACACCGCAGCCGTGACTCGTCAGGGCAACATCACGCGATATTGATAGAAAACCGCGACATTGTTAGTGATGTGTAGTACCGATAAATGCCAGTATAATCGATAATACAGGTATATTGTTTGGGCTGGAAGAAAAATCTATCAAAGGAGAATACTCCTTAGAAATTACTAACATGTTATCAATATATGTTGACCCAGGGCCCCAGGGGCAAGACCCACAAACCCCGGGCCCGGGCCCCCGGGGCCCGGGCCCGGGGGGGGGAGGGGGGGGGGGGGGAGGGGGGGAAAAAAAACAAAAAACCCAGCACCCCGGGGGGGGGGTCTCTCTGCATCTTCTACCGCATTGAGATCCATGGAGAGCGTTCAGAGGAGTTGTTCGGATTAATACCAGCAGTGTTTCATCATAGAACGTCAATGCAGAATACAAAATACCATCCACCTCGAGATCCGTGGTTCCTCAACGCTCAAAGACTGGAAACGCACTCGGGAGCCCTCTGGCATTGAGTGTCCATAGGCGGTACCACTTAACATCAGATGGGATTCCTGCCCGTTTGCACCGTGCCATAAAGATAAATATAACAAGTTACATCAAGGAACATAGTATGTACCTTAGATGTGAAACTTCATCATATTAATAATAATTGTCTGTGGGTTTTGTTATTTAATAATAAATACACAATTTGTTTATTATACGGTGCTTAAGTGGACTTTGTTTATATGGATCAAGAAAATGGTTAAATATAGATTTTTGTCTCGTAGGTGTTTATAATGGGTCTTTCTTGAAAATATATTTTTTAATTTTTGAAGAAGTGTTATAGGTACATTGTTGTAGATTGGCACGCTCTGAAAGGGTTTTTTGCCGACGGTCGGCCGTCGTGAAAGTCGGTTTGAATTTGAATAAAATCTGTAATAATGTCGCATCACTAAAGCTAAGCGGTGAAGCGAAAGGCGCAGATGGGAAACACGTCCCGACCCCCCGCAGGTACACTGCACGATTTGATGCGTGTGCGCAATGGTCCTATTCGCGTAAGAAATTTTTATCTAAATCGCAACTTATTAACTACTATAGAATCTATTAAATAGCTACTACTCTAGCTATATCTGAGGTAGCTTTGCTTGTAGTCTTTTGTAGATTGTTTGGGTTTGACTCGAGTGAAAAGATTTTTTCGGGTAGGCACAAAAGGCTGATACATAGTTGTCATAATTAATTAAAGAGATGCAAAATAGCGAATTGTGACTACCGTAGGGGGGTCGAATTGTTTAATAAAAACCTGTTGCTTCCCCAAAGGCCGCCAACGCACTATGTCCATGGGCTGCAATGAATGCCCTTTAGGCTACATTTTAGGCAGACAATGTTTGTTCGTAGTACTTCAAACTTACACTTGCCGTGAAGTGAAGCAATCTGTGAATCTTGTGCACTTCCTCCAGCGTGGAAAATTGTGGCTAATATAATAAGTTTGCATAAGTTAAAAATCTTTTTCAGTCACGCGAATAACTGCCGATACACGGCACCTGTTAAGAAATTGCTCTGTAATTTCGCCACATCGACGTGTAATGATTTTAAGCCATTGGCTAAAGTGTTTGTAGCCTGATATGTGCCGAGATCAATTTAGCTTATAATTCGCTGCGGCTTTCCATTATTATTAATAATAATAAAAGCCTTTCATTCAGATTCTTTATATTTATATTTCATCCCATTCAGTTCTAGTTCTGTGTCCCCTATTTCTGTCTGCACTGTGCCACTCTCTGCCATGGACCAACCTGCTGTTTTTTTTAATCTGGTCTATCCACCTTCTAAATTGTCTTCCTCTTTTGTACCAGTTTAACACTTTGTTGCTCCACTGTTCTGTTTCTTTTGCCATGTGTCCCGCCCATATCCAATTCAGTTTATTTATTTTCATTGTGACATGATGGTGTACTCTTTTTTGTTTATTACCATTTAAATATATATATATATCGTATTATGAAAAAAAAAATTTAATTTAAAATTTGTTAAATTTGTTAAACTTTTGACTGATTTCTAGATCTCAAAACACTCTTTAAAACCCCGATCATTCGAAGGCATAGATTAAGAGAATTTTAAAAAAGCTTATAGTAATACTAGCTGACCTGGCAAACGTCGTTTTGCCATGTATATCATTTATAATAAAAAATAGGGGTTGATCGTAGAGGGGTGAAAATTAGGGGTTGTATGTATTTTTTAATACTGTATCATAAATAAAAATAAAGAATAAAAATTATCTAAAAATTAAAAAAAAAATCTTAAGACTACCCTTAACATTTAGGGGGATGAAAAATAGATGTTGTCCGATTCTCAGACATACCCAATATACACACAAAATTTCATGAGAATCGGTCAAGCCGTTTCGGAGGAATTTAACCACAAACACCGCGACACGAGAATTTTATATATTAGATATATTCAGCTTTAAAAGCAAAGTACGCAGCTCAATTTGCTCGTATCTTATTCATTAACATTCATAAGTTAAATGCCACGAAAGTTATTGCAGTAAACTTTGCGTCCAATTTCAGTGACGTAGAACATAAAATATCCTGTAATGACACCTGTTGCTTCCTCCCCCTCTGGGGGGGTTGTAACAAAACGTCCGGAATGGGACAGCTAAGTGAGTCAACGAAACATTAAAAAGTATTTATTTGCAATTTCGTTCCGCTTCAATAGTTCAATATAGGAACTAATATTATGAGTAATTCTATTAATCACGGCTACATCAAACGGATATTCATGGATTGGGTTATAGGTTTTTTAATTGCCTGTCTGGTTACATATGAATTGATTGATGAACGTAAAAATTGCGTTTATCAATAATATTCAAAGTTTTACTATTCAAAAATAATGAACACTATTTTGGGAAGTATTGCTGTTGATTATGATTTTGTAAAAACAAAAATAAATGTTATTTCTATAATGTTTGAAAACAAAGATCTATGTACAGAGGACGGTGCTTGTCAATTGTCATTCATTTTGTTTAAATGTTACCTCAACAATTGCGAGGGAAATTCAAATTAAGAAACAAAATGTCAAAGGCAATGTCTGCAATGTGTACAAATTTTTACTAAAAACCTATTTGAATTTACTTTTACATATTTTAATTTCATATTACGAGTATATTTCGAGAAGTATGCTAACGTTTATAAGTTAATTTAATTGTCTAGTTAAATAGTTATTATTATAGACTTTTTATTAATACTCTCTATAAATATAATATTAGTTTACATAATTTATTTCACTTGCCAGTCGTCAAGTATAGGTTATCTTTGCTTTATTATGAGATTCAGAAACGAAAGTTTCTGACGTTAGGGAGTCAGACTTAGCGGCTAGCGCTGAACCTCGTTTCTGAATCTTTCCCTCAGAGTCCCTAGGCGCTACATAAGACTCTTGTATGTCAAAAACGTATTAGATAACATAAGGTCGTTATACTTCGCGCCAAATCTCAACAGAAATGCTAAACATGAAATACGGTCCTTTATAACGCCGCGTAAGAAAATAGCTCAAATATTGCGTTACCTCGCAATATCAAATTAGTGTTGCACGCACGCGAATCGATATCGCGTGATTATCGAGAATAATGTTGAGACTGCTCCCACGGCTGGACCCTTCTGAACCCCACGTCCAATTCAGCTGTGAAGGGACACGACTGATTAGATGTTTACATAAAACAGACACGTATACTAATGTTTACTAATGTGGTTCAACTAGTTTTAATGAAACGATGCGATGTTTACAATAAATAGAAAAAAAAATTTTTTTCTTGTCACAGAACTCAATGGTTTATCGTAATTTAAAATGTAATCTGTGTTATAAGTGAAACGTTTTTATTAAAAATGCTCATAAAGTTTTGAATTAATCTCTATCAATTGCTCAATATTATTTTGAGGCAAGTTTTCGTTATTTCAAACTGGTTACGGAATATTTGAATCATCTGAATAATTTACTGTGTTAAGAATAGCCATACCGATCCTTGCATTTACATAATTGACCATTAGCAAGTTTTTGTTTATAGTTTCGAGGGCAAGGAAAATTATGAGGAATATTATTAGTTTTATTTAGTGGCGATGTTCTTAAAACTTAACTGGAACTAAGCAATCAAACCATAAACATAAAAGCAACAAGATAAGCTAAAGGGGACGTAAGCCGCTGTAGCTCATCAATAAAGGCCCAAGCGAAATTCCATCTCGAATATCTTCGGCCCCCGTTTGTACGTAAACACGCAAAATCCCTCTAAAGGTACGCCGCGGTCTCTAGACATGTGCGGGACATAAATTTGGCGAGCGTTACGTAGGTACAGGCCGGCCGCTATGTGCCACAATACATAAGGAGTAGCTATGTACGAAGCAACACGGGCGTCACTTATCCGCGCGGAGGATGCGGTGGTCGTCCGATCACCCCCTAGCAACCCCCTGGTTGCCCCCACACCCCCTCGCGATTCATTAAGTCGGGCGCGGCCGACGCGGCGGACGCGTCGCGGAGTCTCCGTGAATTCAAATTAGAGCCAGCTCGGACGTCGTGTAGTAGGGATTGAATTGCTTTTCTATGAAGTTATCGATACTACGAGTATAAATTATTGTTATGAATGACTTTATTGCTTAGATTTAATTTATACGTCGTTATGACTTACATAAAACGAACATGCTAACAAATAAATAAAGCACCTACTGTCATTTTGATAATCATATCATGTGTTTTTTATTTATTTATTTTTGTGAGTACATAATTTTTAAGCATGAACTTATATTAAAAGAAAGGCTTTAGAAGCTGACATAACGAATAATAAATACTGAAATATGTAATTAAATTAGTAAGCTATTGACTAAAGTTAAGTTGAAAAATGTTAAATAGAAACAAAAAGACACAATAATCTTTAAGGGGGCGTCCATAAATTACTGAAGGGGGGGGGGGTCGAGTCAATCTCATTTAATCTTACGTTGGAGAGAGGGGGGTCTCGGCAAATATCACGCAATGGTTTTTCTGGTTGAAAAAAACTTTGATAGAAAAAAATACTCTGCAACTTCCCGCTAACTCTATACCTAAACGCTTAACATTTCACTTATTTTGTTTTAGTCGTAAATAAAAGCGAAGCAATTTTTTAATAGAAACCCACAATAATAAAAAAAAAGGGGGGGGGGGGGGGGGGGGGAATATAAAAAAACTTTCACGTAATTTATGACGCCCCCTAAGCACAAAGCAACTAATATAATATAATTTATAATAGTTTACTATACACACAAAACTGTGAATAAATAAATCGTTCTAAGGCATAATAGCGAGTAAAATTAAATTTCGACTAAAACCTTAACAAAAAATAAAACCCAAAAGTATCGATATATCTAACAAAGTGAAACATCACTGTTGCCCCTTTGTCTCGACAAGACAGACGCGCTCATAGCGGGTGGGGGCCGCACGTGCCGGACGGAAGTCGCAGGGCCAGAGCACCACGCTAAATGATTCAAAACTCGCCCGGACCTGCAAGATTTATGCCTTTACCCGCTGCCGACTAGATTAAAGATGTCGCGCCTTTATCGATATACCTTTAGATATTGTCTCTGCACAAAGACATCATTTAACTTTACGATCTATCTCTCTCTCAGTCAGTAGCTCATATCTGAGCGTCGTTGTCAGCAAAGAAGCTGGAGCGGACAATCTGTTGCCAATGGTTTCAGTCAAGCGCCTCTCTTATAACGTTTTGAGGACGATGAGTCTTTCAAAGGCAAAGTCAAAATGATTTATTCATATAGGTAACGCAATGTACACTTATGAACGTCAAAAAAATATATATATGAAATGCTTCTAATTTTACATTTACTGCCAGTTCTCAACTTTCACTAGATCGGTCCATCTGGTTGGTGAACGGCCACGTGATCTTTTTGCCTATTTCTACACTTTGTTACCTTATACAAAAACATACATATAAAAAAGCAGGTTACATAAGTTATAAGGCAACGGGGGGGCCTTATCGCAAACAAGCGATTTCTTCCAGGCAACCCTAATATGGAACAATAAATGAAAAAATATGGAAGAAACACCTACAGAGGGTAATAAAGTACAAGAAATGCATAAATAATTAACAAAACTCAAAATAATATGTAACTATAACTAAAATAAAATAAATTAAAATCTAAAGATGCCTTTTGTATTACTAACCACGATCATTTTCTCCAAGTTCTCATCACCTCTGTATGTATGGCCGATATAACATACAATTCGCTGTCGGCATAATATGGTAGACGAATCCGTAACGCACGGTATTCTGAGCTTTCGCCTCCAGCACCATATCTCAAACGCATCAATCCTAATGAACTAGCCTTAACTGTGAACTTAAGATTTTAAAAAAAATCAGTGGCGCTACAACCTTTTTAGTTCTGGGCCTCACATTTCTGTATCTGTTTTATGATCATTTGTCAATCTAATAGGCAAGTAGGTGATCAGCCTCCTGTGCCTGACCCTCGCCATCGAGTGTTTAAGTATAAGGCAAGCCGGTTTTCTCACGATATTTTCCTTCACCGTTCGAGCGAATGTTAAATGCGCACATAGAAAGAAAGTGTTGGTGCACAGCTGGGGATCGAACCTACGACCTCAGGGATGAGTCGCACGCTAAAGCCACTAGGCTAACACTGCGCAGGATACACACAACTTAAAACTAAACTAATTAACCAAAAATTTATTTAACGTAAGAAAGTGTCTAATACTTACAGTGTCTATTAAGGAGATTACACTTTGTCATTTTGTACTATTTTTTTTGCCACTTAACACTTGTGGGTACCAATCATACACAATTTTCAAGCTGTAGTTGGGGTTTTTATATGATGATGATATACTCTAAATTTTGTTTTATGATGAATGAAACTACAATGTGTTTCTGAAATTATTATAGAAACAAAATTTAAAGTTTGTTATTACATAGTTCTTCAAAACAATTATTTTAATGTAATTCTTATAAAATCCAAAATGTTCAAAAAAAATTCATCTAATAAAAATTCAAATGACAAGCCAAAACTCGCGTATTTTTTACAGACTAACAAACTTTTAATATTACAAATTTTATAACACATAATAAATAATTAACAATCTAAAGAATCTCATGTAAGAAATATTTTTATGCATCTTTCATGATAAACATGTATATATATGTAGATTGCTCACTGAAAATTATCTCTTTAACGTTATTTTCCATGAAGAAGCAACATTATACTAGCATCTATCATAACAAAAAAGGCAACACATGATCTAAGAAGTATCTCTTCCATTGTTGACTACTCAAAGTTTTCAAAGAAAGTAAAACAGATAGACTCTCGCATTAAAAGTTTTCTTCGCTCCGACTGCAAAGTTTGAGTTAGTTGGCGACGGCCAATATGCAAATGTGAACTTTCCCTCTTTTACGTTTGAGAACGGGAGCTGCACTTGGCCGATTTACGACCCTTCAGCGTTCAATTGAAATTCACGAGCCTTGCAATACTTGTGTATTAGGCATATCTAATGCCTGAAATACTGTTTATTTGTTTTAACGTTTTGAACGCGTAGTGAATTAATATGCATTTGAATATTGATATTTATTTGTTTATTGCTTATTCATATATATTAATTAAACTAAACTTCAAACGTATGCTCAGTATTTGGTCTATTAAATTAACATTACTGAGCAGTGTTGGCCTAGTGGCTTCAGCGTGCGACTCTCATACCTGAGGTCGTAGGTTCGATCCCTGGCTGTGCACCAATGGACTTTCTTTCTATGTGCGCATTTAACATTTGCTCGAACGGTGAATCAAAACATCGTGAGGAAACCGACATGTCTTAGATCCAAAAATTCGACGGCGTGTGTCAGGCATTGGAGGCTGATCACCTACTTGCCTATTAGATTTAAAAAAATGATCATTAAACAGATTCCGAAATCTGAGGCCAAACCTAAACAGGTTGTAGCGCCACCGTTTTTTTTAAAACTAATATTATTAGTTATAATAGTATTAATGAAATATAACTGTCTTTATTTGTATTATCATACTCCACCCAGCTGAATAGGTGAAAATAGTTTCGAGTGTATCAATTAGGAAACATTGATATAATAAATGATGAGAAACACTGATCTTTAGCTAGTTACTTTGGTATAGATGAGACCTTTGACTCGGATCTAGGTATACACTTCTGACCAGAGTATCTGTACTTCAGATAATACCGGAGCTATCACCGGAGTAATTAACGTGATTGCGGCCGTCTCCTACACTGAAACAGGGTACTAGGCCTTGCTAAGATTCATTGTGCAATAGCCCCGAATAGCCTTTGCTAAATACGAGGTCGCTCGAGTATCAAAGCAATCTGGGTGGAGGTCCGAGGCACAATTCTGGCCTGCTCCTTGCGCATATTGCATGCACGTACCAATGAAGTTTGCTTTGTAGGCGGTAATCTGCGGGGGTGTATCGGTGTAGGGTGGTGGGTGGCGGGTTATGTACACACGAGCCTGAGGCGTCGAGGTAGGCAAATGGCCGGCGAGGCGGGCGCGTAGGCCGAGATCTCGGGCGATATCGATCCGCGGCCGGCCGACGCTCGCGGCCTCTCGTCGCCACGGACACCGCGGCGGGAGGGCGGCGCCAAGTGACAAAAACACTCCTTTGTTTGATGCCACGTAGACTGTGGACGGCAGCTTGAAACTAACTTTACAAAGATCATGACTTGACTTGTGTTTCACTAGTATTCTTATGTGTTATGTTTAGGACAAGATATATTTTAAGTACAATTTTTCATGAAAACAAAGTTTGTTAGTAAATGTATAGGGAAAGAATGATGAAAAACAAAAGTAATCATCGATAAAAAAAGCATAAGAACATCACTAGCTCGCGACGCGACCGCGCGGCGTCCGACGGGGTGGTGCAAATCACTCGCGCGGACTGCCGTTCTTCGAGGGCATTTGTGTTGCGAACGTTTACTTGGATTGTAATTGTCGATAAAATAAAAAAGGCGCCCATTTTGCACTTTTCGCTTTTTGCTGTGAACATATGATTGCAAAGGTAATGTTGCCATGAAAACTATCGATAGGGCGATTAATAATTATGTTACTATTCTTTAAAATATACAAATTATCATTTTTAATGTCAAATAGTTGTCTTTGTAACTAAGATACAGAAAATCAAAGTCCATCAACCATCTGTCAGAATCCTATGACCGTATGACGAGTTAATAATCTCGCTTATACTTGACTCAACCAATACCAATATTATATAAATAATTATAAATTAATTTATTAAAAAAACACAGACGATATATGAATAAAAATCTTATTTTATGATCTTGTCCGAAAATAGAAATGCCACCAATCAATAATAATTAATAATAAATTAAACACTGTTCTTACTGCCAAATAATGTGCATACTATACTATATATTATAATGATTTTCTTAAAACTTATCGATAGTCGATAAAGTACATCACGTCATGTTCAATTAGAGAACGCAGCAGTCAGCGATCTCGCATGAGTGGCATCTGTGCCACCCTCCGGTCGATACTTATTACCGAGTCTCGAGTATCGATAACGATATGCGCCGCATCTCTAGAGTCATGTGCCTCAAAATAACAATGTATATATATGTGTATATGTATGTATGAAAGTGAAGAAATCTTATATATGCAAAAATTTACCCTTAAAGTTACGGTATGGAGGCAGACATTTCTGCGTGTTTAATTGATGAGGTAATATCTATACATACCTAATTATGTTTACTTTCTTTTTTTTTATTTGGACAACAAAATTGGTGTAGCAGAGCCGTCCCTACAACATCAAACACGACCCGAAAATCAAGTACAAAAAAAAGTTGATAAAGTTTGTTTTCACTTTGAGTAATCAATGTACCATATACATTTATTAGTAATCTTACAGCTAACATAAAACAACATTAGACGATATATAAAGCCAAAACAGATTTATTAGATAAACAATTTATATGAAACAGAAAACATAAGTATATTAATAGACAAAATGAAAAAAATAAAAGAAAACTGAAATTTAACTTTAAACAAACCACAATTAATACTTTATATTTAAAGAAAAAACTAAATAATTACTGCATGCTTGTCGCATACGGTGGAGGGATTCTTAGAGAAATTAACGACAACAAATATCTATCCGCCCATTAAGAATCGTACAAAAATAATAAGCTGACTCCGCCGTCATTCTAATGTCTAAATTAAGATAGATATCTTAAAATAGCGAATTCAAAAAATAAGAGAATGAGTTATAACTTTACTTGGCTTTGCATTCGTTTACGTCTGCCAATAGTAACATACATGAGTAATGGCGCAGTCGTTGCAAAAAAAAAATCTGACTCGTCGATTGGACAAAAAGCCTGGCGTTTCATCTGGTCGACTGCTGGCACTTTTCATTGCTAATTCATAAAAACAATAAATGTACTGAGGAAGAAAACAACTTCGGTGAAATATATATATAAGTTAAGGACTTGCTGGCTTTATATTATACTAGCGGTTGCGACAGACGTTGTCCTGTACAGTATACACACATCTTACTTACAAAAAAAAAAAAATATATATATATATATATCTAATAATGTAAATCATTGTCGACTCCACTTGAACACACACAAAATGTCATCAAAATATGTCCAGCCGTTTAGGAGTTTAATAAGAAACACATGCACAGATGATTTATATCTATACCAGCTGTTTGCTGTATATAAATAACCTAACCTAACCTTTGTGAATCTAAACCATCCAGGGGGCCACACAAACGCACACAAAAAAAAATTCAAATAGGTCCAGCAGTTTAACAGGAGTTCAGTGTCATACACACGTGTACAGTAGAATTAGATATATAAAGATATTATAAGTTATATTTTACCATAATATGAAATTACTTTTACATACAAAACCCCAGCTTACACTCATTATAAAAAACATCCAAAAGGAAGTACTTATATAAATATCTTCCTTAAATTATATTTACTATAATTATTCATCTTATATAGCAATGAAGCTATAAAAATCATTAAAACATTATTCAAATAAATTATAATACCTCCAAAGTCCAAATACAGCAAAATGACAGAACTTATTGTCAAAGATTTTTTTTGTTTCTCGTTATAAATTTATCGACTATTCAAGGATAATGGGGACATCACTAAAGCGCCGGGCGTCTTGCTCGAAATACCAATAACGCTTGGTCAAGCGCAACTCAAAGCGTGGAACGTACGGTCTAATTTGCGCTTGCAATGTATTGTGGGGCAAAGGAATATACACCTTATGTACATGGTACGGCCGTTAAGATCCTCTGAATTACGCACGGTCCCGTAAATGCTTTTGTATGAGTTTGTAACTGTCTTGTAGACGAATACGTGCTAGAATTATATTACTACATGGTACTGCAGCGAAGATACATTTTTATGCTAGAAAGTAATAAACGGCGCTTCTATAAATCGGCTTATTAATTCTTTCCGTACCGTTTCTGTAATATTAATCTACCAAATAATTGACTATCTTGATGAAACACAGAGTCGAGACTTAGCGAACTGTGGTCTATAATATAAATCGTATCTCATATCACAATCTCGTATAGAGAAAAAAACTAACTAACTAATCTCGGCTAACTTGATACAGAAAAATATTTTGACAGCTCCGAAAAATATATTTAAATTTAATTGACATTCTAGCTCAGGCTCTGGATCGTACCCTTTTTTTAAAAAGCATTGTTAAGTGCCTATTTGATTAAGCTAATCTGCTGTTTTGCTAGTATTTTAATAGTATTTTTATTTTTTTGTAACATTTAAATGTTTATCATAATTGTCATATATTTAGAAAAGATAGCTTGTAACATATTCTGCAGATATAGCATAATGTATGATCTGGTGAACTTTAATAAATACTCTAAATAGCGGTAAGATAGAGAAACACTTTTTTAACGGATTTGATATTGTTTTATTATAAATTTACAATTATTTTACATAATTTTAAATTTAACCGACGTTTCGCGTGCTTTACAGCGTACGTGGTCACGGTGACTGAAGACAAAAGGTGTTGAATGTCAAAAAGTATCACAGCTGTAGAAAAGAGTTGTGTTAACTCAATCTGTATTTATTTCCCCGGAGTTGGTATCGACTAAAAGATGTAGGGTTTTGGCAAAAATGGCTCACAGTGTCCTCTATTTTCGCGGATTGTTTATCTTGAGATTTTAATTTGGATATTAAAATATAACTGCATAACTTCAAAACCGTTAAAAAAGTGTCTTTCTATATCTTAAAGTTATGTCAATAAAAGACGGCTAGCGGTAAGATATTTTATTTAAATAGTTTGGAACTATCTATCTACAAATATGTAATTAAGTTCGGAAGGACATATACAAATATTGTGTGAATAATTTTGAAACAAGTTTATTAAGTCTATGTAATCAAATTTGATGTTCTACTGTAATTGTTCAAATATGAATTTATTTAATTTCAATTCATTTCGTATTAATGAGTTTGTGTATTTGGCTTATTAAGGCTCCGGAACTATATAAAGCTTATTATTTACTTTTTAATTATTACATTAAAAACTATGAATATCACGCTACGAGGGTATAATCGCGGGGTACAGTATTTTTAAAGAACACTTGATATTAACCGGTATTGCCACCCGTGGACAGAATTGGTAGGCTCTGTTCTTGAAGGATCCTAAGTCCTAAAAAATAAATATTTAGTTTAAAAAGACCATATATCTTACGATAGCCACAGCCCTTAAATAAAAAAACAAATTAGTTAATACGTGTATTCGCAAAAGAAAATTCTTAAGTGAAAGTGTGGAAAAGTTGTGAGTTAAAAGTGAAAGTTGGGAAAAGTTCCGTAGCCCGACTTTGTTTTCACAACTTTTGATTCAATTTATAGGGCAGGGGTGGGGTGGCAACACCCACTTGTTATTATATTATCGTAAACAAATCACCTTTTATGAAGCTCCTTATAATCGTGTATTTAAATAGAACTTCTTTGGACGATACAAATTTATATTTATAACAGAACAATGTTTTGAGTGCTTCGTAGTCAATGAGAAATTATTTCCGTGTGCACTAAAATGTTGTATGAATTGATAATGAATTACATAATAATTATCGCTGTTCTATTGTTTACATTACATTTTGTATAATATCAGGTTTAGGATGGAGAATGAATGAAAAAATTAAAAAAATATATTCGCTTAATTCAATTTGATATTCAGGTCAAATTTATTATTATTCTTCTTAAGTTTAATATTTAAAAGGACTTGTTTGTTTTTTTTCTTGTGATACATACGCACTGCTTTGGAAATTTAGTTCTTATTTTAACAAATGAAGGCCTTAGCCGTCGTTCGGCTGCGTCTGTATAGGTATATAACATCACTATATACTGTACAATAACCTAGTTAAATAAATATGGTATACATAAAAACTACCGAACAGATGATTTTTTCATCATAAGATAGTGTATAATTTATGGATATGGATTTTATGTAAAGTTACTATTATTGTTGAAGATGTATGACGGATTATATTGACTCATAAAATATGTCAAAATGTACGAAATCCGCTTGGGTGAAACTACCGGACGAAACTAGTTTGAAATTAATCAATTTAAAACTGATAAATTTAATTCCTTTTTTGTATATTTTGTTTTCAAATAGATAAGCTTTATTATAACACTCCAATTATTAAATTAATAGCATACAAATAAAAAGTTCTTTATAAGCTAAAAATAAGGAACTATTCAAGCAATGTTTACTATACGCGCCATCTATTATACACTACGAGAACTAAGTTGTAAGTTAGACTGACAACTCAAGAGCAACGTTCTTAGCCAAGGTGTAGAGGGCGCTTTAATAAAAACTAACAACCAGACCCGCAACCCTTGTTTTTGGGCTCTGAATAATTCTGTATCTAGCATCGTATGAACAAATAGTTATTTTAGTACTTAGTAAGTATTTTTATTTCCAGCCAGAGCGAATAATGTCACCATACACAGCGATAATAAGACGGAGTGGTAATCCTTTTGAGCTGGCTCACGTGCTAGTGTCATGGCTGGTGGGAGCTGGCTACGACGCTTATGTAGTAGTGGGTTGCGCTAAACGAGATCTATGCTTGGCCGTGCGATATAGATCGCTGTGTCCAGAGATACCAGATGAAACTGAGGTTAGTTAATAATATGAAGAGACGGTCTAATTCTCACATCGTCTTCGTCTATAGAACGTCTGCTTTGCTGGTCTATGGTGCCCTTATGTTTAAGGAACAAGTCTAACTTTCTTAGTCCCGCAAATCAAAGCATTTAATTGAAAAATATGTCAGGTACAGTGTAATCCCCGTTAATCACGAAATCACTCCGTTGGTTAGGTTACCTTCCATACAATGATGCACTCCACATAGCATTACTCCCACCTTCAATAACGACAACTAAATAATAAAAAGTATTTTTTAAGTTGCCGAAATTACGTGCCTTTGTCGCTATATTGTCCCAGCCCGTAATAAACTCGACTGTGGCGATCATACGTACCGAACTTTTTAAGAAATCCATTCTTTTGTTTACAAAGTGGTGCATATTGCTTGCACGTGCATTATCACGAAGATGCCTCAATATCGCAAGATATGAATAAAACAAGTTAAAAAACAACATAATTACTGGTGCAGCAAAAGACGTCAGGCGAAAGTAATAGACTATACGCAATAGCGTTCATATAAGAATTGTTTTTTATGTAATTACTGACACCAGTCTTATATAAACGTTTTCTTTTTCTAATACAGATTTTTCTTCTTTCTGTTTAACGACAACTCATTTTTTTTTTAAATTTCTCGACTACGTCAAAATGCAAGACACATCGATATGGTTATGTGTCCATGTGGAAACATACTATTTTATGCAGGTTATTGAAGAGCCACCGCCGCCAGAGGAAGAGCCGCGGTACCGATTAGTACCTCTACCAGATATGACATCAAAATATTGCCGGGACATGGATACAAAGGCAGCCGCGATGCGACAAGCTGAATTAGACAAGGCGGAGAATGCACGGCTGAGAAAAATTGCGGTAAGATTGTGAAAAAAATTTAATATTTTGAAATATAATTTATATACATAAAAATATATCGCTAATACATATTTTGTTCTTAAATTTTAGCTTCAAAAGTCCTGAATTAAATATATTTATAACTCTTTTGTTTGTGTTTCTTTAGCGTTTTAAAAAAATCATATAATTCAAAATTAGTGAGATTTCGCAATTCAATATTATATGTTTTTAACATTTAGTGTTCTTAATATAACAAATTGATACATAATTATTGTAACACACTGAAGTATTCAAGAAGTGTAACTACAAAGTATGATCTATTAAAAACTTCAGGAACTTGAGAAACCACCGGACGATCCGATAGACGGCTGGCGTACTCACGCCTGGGTCCTTATATTGCCAGGGTTCAAGGGTATTGAGGAGCCCTACTTTATAGAACCCAGCGAGGGAAAGGGCCACCCGATCAGCGCACCACAGTACCAAAAGCTGGATAGTGTATATAATCATGAAAATTACTATGTAAGTTTGTTAAAAAATTCACATACGGTATTCTAAAAAAAATTAATTTGAATTTAAAATTATATTATGTATATCACTAGCTGATCCGGCAAACGTCGTTTTGCCATGTATATCATTTATAATAAAAAATAGGGGTTGATCGTAGAGGGGTGAAAATATAAAGTAAGTATAATTTTTTTATCTAAAATTAAAAAAAAAATAGGGGTGGACTACCCTTAACATTTAGGGGGATGAAAAATAGATGTTGTCCGATTCTCAGACATACCCAATATGCACACAAAATTTCATGAGAATCGGTCGAGCCGTTTCGGAGGAGTTTAAACACAAACACCGCGACACGAGAATTTTATATATTAGATTGTACCCCTAGTAGTGCTGGCCTATTGCTTCAGCATCCGACTCTCATCCTTCAGTTCGTAGGTTCAATTCCTAACTGTGCAATAATGGACTTTCTGTCTATGCGCATTTAATATTCGCTCGAGCGGTGAAGGAAAACATCGTGAGGAAACCGGCTTGCCTTTGTCGCAAAAAGTCGACGGCGTGTGTCAAGCATAGGAGGCTGAACAGTGAACACCTACTTGCCTATTAAATTGACAAACGATCATTTGAACGCTTCGATCCCCGGCTGAGACAAACATCGATGTGATGAGCATTTGGTGTTGTGCTTAGGTCTTGCGTGTTTAAATATGTATTTATATATCTATCTTTCTATAATATGTATGTATATCCGTTGCTTAGTACCCATAACACAAGCTTCACCAGCTTAGCATGGGACTAGGTCAATTGGTGTGAATTGTCCAATCATAAAAAAAAGATACAGAACTCTGAGGCCCAGGCTTAAAAAGTTATATATGTTTGTACCAGAAATATTACAATCCGTTTGAGAGATGAAGCAGTTATAAAGCGACTCTTGCGTTAATACATTTAAATAATTAATTAACGATTTGATGGTTTAAAATATATGAATTTTTAAAAGTTATATGCGGTTTCGCGTCTTTTTGTGTAGGCATATCTTCGATTACTATTAAAATATATCCTTCAAAACACTAGTTTATTAATACCTAATACTGTTCTTACGTGAATGCAAAGGTGAATCTGCAAGGCTGCGACGAAGGCCTGGGATCATTGAACTACGATCTAGGAGATATAAGTTGTTGGGAGCACATGCTTGCCGGCGAGCCGAACTATCGACGACAGTTTGTTGGCATTGACCTCGCGGATAAGAAGACGGCCTATGATACTGAGAAGCACATGTGTGTGCCCGCCAGCTGGGTTGAGAAGTTGGATGTAACCGCTGACAGTTTGTTGACATTTAAGCCTTTAGCTAGTTCGTAATAGTCTTCGCAGTCTTTTAGCATCGATTAAATTTAAAACAATATATTTTAGATTATGAGCAACGCTATCCCGGCAGCCATAAGGTGATCCATTACAAGAAGGTATTGCTCGAGAAATTCGCTCCATACTCTGAAAGGGACGGCATTATCAAGAGAATCAAGATATTTGACGACTATGCGCTTACTGTTCCTTTATTAACGTAAAGATTTTTATTCCTAACAGCCTTCGAAGGTTTATAGTAGATATAGTAAACCCCCTTATAACACGGCACTGTTATAACGCATTTTCATATTATGCGCAGTCCAATGCGCGTAATACAACTAAATAAAAAAATAAATGATGTTTTACAATGATTATTTTTAGCATTTATTAATTCTTATATGAAATGTTAATGGCTCGTTCCTTCTAAATAAAGTTCCAACACCAACACATTTCTAAACAATTTAATTAAAATAATAGACAATAACTATAAACATGGTACCAGTGTAGCGCTTTTCCTGTGATACTATTTCAGATATGAATGGTACAAGCACAGAGTTGATAAAATGGAGACAATGAAGATGGATCATCTCAGCAAAGAAGTGCGGGAGACATTCAGTGTTGGAAGAAGAGATAACTTAATAAGTAACTAGTTTGGTAGCTCACGCTAAAATTTACTATCCTAATAAGCAATATTTTTTCTTAGTGATCTTGTATTCAATCAAAAATCATGACTAAAGAGTCTGTTCTAAGTGGATCATGACATGCTCGAGATTCGATGTTTCTTTTGGTTAATAAACTAATAAAAAAAGGTAATTAAATGGACACTAAGGTGGGTCAACTACAGACGGAATATGTTTGCATGCTAGCTAATCTGTAATTCACTGATTGATTCACTTATGACAAAAATATCAGGTCTATAGTAAAGAATTGTCGTAATTACAAATAATAGTCTGGGTCTGTTCCTCCTATTAGCAGTCTGTGGAGACATATATGAATACATTTTCAGAGCACACATACTCATTGGAAGCTCCAATAGTATCCGTGGAGGGCGAAAGGACTCTAGAATTCAACTACTATGCGAGACTTGATCATCTCACGAAGCTGGTTTGCACGACAAGGACATTTGACGAATATTATACGAAAAGAATTGATAGGTAGTAGTGAACAAGATTTTATTAATTCATTAGTAGCCTAAAACTTGCTTTTGAATTATCTAAATGAGGTCTAATGTTTTTTTAAAGAATACAATTTTTTTAATAAGATTACACTTAACCAACATCTGTATTTATTGAATTCAAAAATATGAGAAAAATAACTCTCTATCAGGCTAGAGTCACGGAAGATAACCTACTCGGAGCCGACTAAAGCAGAACCGAAACGTCAAGTCAAAGATATCATAGAGACCTATTCTAGAAACCACGATATCCCATCGAAAGACGACATTTGGAAGAAAATATTTCACCTCCCGGAAGAAACAATTGAACTGCTCTACCATTACGATTATAATTTCGTGACAAACAACACGAGACACTTTTTAAAACCGAATCTGGCTGAGACTGGTGGAAAGATTCTGTTTTATCCGGATAAAACATCCGGGTACATTGTAAGTTATATTGTAAAATAAAAAGCCGATAAAGTATATTAGTAGTTCCGATTTATTGTAATGTGTTGTTTTGTTATTAAAGGTGTTATGTTTTTTGTTTTGTGTCACAATTGTCCAGCATGTTCAAACTAATCACATCATCGTTATATATTACTAGCTGATCCGGCAAACGTCGTTTTGCCATGTATATCATTTATAATAAAAAATAGGGGTTGATCGTAGAGGGGTGAAAATTAGGGGTTGTATGTATTTTTTAATGCTGTATCATAAAAAAAATTACTTATCTAAAAATTAAAAAATCAATAATTTAGGGGTGGACTACCCTTAACATTTAGGGGGATGAAAAATAGACGTTGTCCGATTCTCAGACATACCCAATATGCACACAAAATTTCATGAGAATCGGTCAAGCCGTTTCGGAGGAGTTTAACTACAAACACCGCGACGAGAGATTTTTATATATTAGACTAGCAGACTCGGCCAAGCGTTGCTGTGGCTATGGTTGTTATATTACATAGTAGTAAGCTATTCAAGAGAAACGGTATGTGAACACCAGTAATGGGGACCACCATGCTTTTTGCTGGTTATGCCATTAAATTGTAGCTTATGTGAAACTTTGGTACTTTCAACATACAATAAATAATAACTATAATAATAATAATACATGCCATGTGTTAGAATTGTGACGCAAAAAATTTGCAATAAATTAATTTTGCGGGTATAAATTGAGATTTAAGCTATCCTATCTTATAAGTTAGATCAAACTGCACACGGTGTGCAAATTTGATTCATATCGGTTCGGTAGTTTAGGAGTCCATAGCGGACAAACAACGTGACACGTAATTTATATATATTAAGATATTATTTACATACAAGATCAAAACTATTTATTTATAGTAGTACCATGATGAAAATATTACATTGTGTTATGTAATCGATTAAGAATTAATGAATTAATGTGGAAAATGGTGTTGGTAATGGTTGCAGCTCCTTACAAACATTGTGTAAAACAAAAAACTTGGCGATTAAAAAGAGTGGCGGAGAGTTTATTGCCAGTTCTTCTCTTTCGTCCTACGCCCTTGATTTGAGAACTAAAATGTAAAATTAGGAGCATTTAATATACATTTCCTTTTTTTTGTCGTTCATAAGTGTACATTGTGTTTCCAATATGAATAAATGATTTTGATTTCATTTGATTTGATTGAATGATCATAGTAATTTGTAACTGTACTGTAACTTTATTATCGCAATTTCATCATTGTTCTGCTAGCTACAAAAACGAGATATTTTTAAATACATATCTAAAAAATGATGTATACTCTTACAGGCCGACCCGTGCGCTAAACAACCTCGACCATTAGACGTGTATTACGCTCTTTGTGACAATATGGAGTGGGAGAACAAGTCACGGAAACACATCCGCGACAGAGAGACAGATATAAATGGATATTTAAAGCAAAGACATAAAGAATTAACCGAGCCAATGTTGGTGGTAGCTCTCTTTGATACTGAAAGAAATGAGGCAGCTAAGAAGGGATGGAAAGAACAGGTGAGATACATAGATAGCGTTATATTAGTCACATCGTAAATCTTGGATTTAAGGACTCCCACACAAAACTGCGATGCGATGCGATGCGAATTTCTGCGATACGATTTAGTGCGACAAACCGTTTGGTAGGGCAACCATTCCTTCGTAGTCAGCCGTACTGGACGTGTTTTTAGGACGCGTAAGATGGATCGCAAAAAGATAATTTCACTGCTGTTATTGTTAAATAGATATAAAAGAAAAAGAAGATTCTGGGTTCATCCATTTATTACGATTATGAACTCTGATGCAAACTTTCACAGACGCTCTTCCACGCATCTTGCTTAATACATTTATTTTTATAATGTTCATCACTTGTGTCCCAAAGGACGGGACGCTCCTCAATTAAAAATATTAAAAAATCCATATCATTTTCCGCAATTTTTTATAAACAAAGAAGGCGGCGGAGGCGCCGCGCGTCTTTCTCTAAAGCTGTCTCAGAGCGGACTAAAATGGCGTCACCAAGGATGACGTAATATCGCAAGAATGTGCGATGCGAAGCAGATCGGAACTTCTTGCGGTGCGTTCGTGCGAATTCGCAAATATTTGCGATGCGATGCGAATTCGCAGTTTTGTGTGGGAGCCCTTAATGTAGTCGTACATATAAACATTAAATAGACAGTAAGGTTACATTACTTTAACTAACTAACTAGACTCCACAAAAAACCAGCGTTTCAAAAATAAAAGTTAAAACGTAACTACGTAAAAATGTATTTCGTTAACATTAAAAAAAATATAAATTTTAGGAAGCCCAAAAAGCAGAGGTAACAGAACGTGAAAAGGAAGCGGAAATAGATCCATTGGCACCGTACTTGGCTCGGATGTTTGGGTCTGGTCATGGAAGTGGAGCGCCGCTCACAATCAAAGAGGCTACACTGATTAGGGAACAGTGTGTCAACGATTTTAGAGCTAAACAATTGGCCAGGCAAAACCTTGTTCAGGAAAGATTTGATACGGTAATAGAATTAATAGGACTGTTTCTACTATTATATTAAGCGTAAATTGAGTGTTTATTATATTTTTTTTGAAAAAAAATTTTTCACAGTTAGCTCGTGCTCGTTTGTTGGTGTGTGCAATCATTCTTTTAAAAAAACGACTGCTATCTGTGATATTAAAAAAACAATTAATTATTCCACATTCCATCCTACAATATAGGTTCCTACAAGATACAAAAATTTCGGTTTGTTTTACAGCTCAATGGAGAGTATAAAGCAAAGAGATTATGGTATCTCGCAAACCAGTTTATTTTGACCCCTGAGAAGGAGAGCGCCTATTTTGCTGCGAGGTTTGATTTTTGAATAAATTAGTTCTTTACCAAGAAGATCGTTTGTGCTTTTGAATTAGGTACTTGGTCTAAAGTTTGCGCTCTAATAAACTATTGCCCTCCTTGTCAATATCGTTAATCTTATAAGGTTGGATTTTCGTAAGTGTCTGTCACGGTGAATAAGAATGGTATATAATTGTCTTATTTGTCAGAAACATCGTGTCTCAATAGTCAGTGGCGTAACTATACCATCTGGGGCCCGTGGAAAATTCTTTTGATGGGCCCTATCAGTAAAAATCGTCACGTTGTACTCAGTTTAATTTTAATAAAATTTGAGATTTTCAGAGTACTAAATTACACGTTGTATATGTCCCACTAATGGCCATAGGCCTCCTCTCTAAGGATAGGGAATGGTCTATAGTCCCAACGCTAGCCCAATGAGTATGGGACACTTCACATTCATCCATAGAACATAATATCTCATGGGCAGGGGCCCTCTTGGATCGGGGGCCCGTGGCGTTTTGCCAGCCCTGCCACCCTATTGTTACGCCACTGCCAATAGCGCTCACGACTAAATTTTCTGAAAGCGAACGTCAAAAGCATTTAACAACAAATTTTGGAAGTAGGTTTTAGCATAAATTACGTCTATGGCTGAAGTTACTCGTTTAGTGCAGCCTAATCTAATGATTAGATTCATATTTATTAGGTAAATTTCTTTTAGTGCTGAACTGGCCTTCAAAGTCCACACTCTTGAGGTCAGACTTACACGACACAAGGACCTTTCGGCTCCTCGGTTTCAGTACATGGAAGAGTACTTGTCTAAGCACCCGCTCCTTAGAGAATATAACAGGATGAGACTTTATTATAGACTTAAATAGTTTATTTGTTGATGTTTATATAGAATTTACTTTATAAAATAAATGATTTTATTTTTAAATTCTCTTTGTTTTATTAATAAGTTCTTATGTACTTACATAAATCCTTCTATGAATAAAGAAGCACTGATATCTTTTTTCATAACGATGTCAAGTGTCAACGCAATTTGACAGTGACAAATTAGTCAAATCTATACATTATGGTGGAATCCGTAGCTATATAGATTAAATAAGTAGGAATTTTTTTTGTTCCTCGATACTTATGTGACCCTGGTAGCCGAAATTTTTGGCAATTTCATTTATTTTTGAAAAAAGCCGTAAATTAATATATAATAAATATACAAATACATATTGTATGCATATTACACATAGTAAATAAAAATCCGTGAGTACGATAACTTTATTAATGTTTAGGGAATATCCAGGAAGGTTGCGTTTGATGTAATCCAGTAGACCAGTCGCCAGCTCCTCCAAGTAAATTGCCTCTTCCATCGTGAGTGGCCAAGGCAAGTCGGGACAATTTGTTAGCCAAACGCCGTTGAGGGGAATCCGGTCGAGATAAGGGGGGAAGTGATATACTACCCGAATCTAAAAAAATAATTAGCGGTTAAAGTGGCGCCATACTTAACTATTTCTGTTTCTTTAATATTTTTTTATAGGCAAGTGAATTAGCTCTCTCTGAGACAAGCCTTTACAGTCTTTTCCTTAAAATGACACATTGTTGAAATTTAGGGTCATTTACCGCCCGAAGTTCACGAACTTAATTGGACCTATCAGTTGTTTTTGGCGAATTAAATTTTAACAATTTCTCGCAGGGTGAAGGTATATCAGAAAACCCGTACATTTAACAATAATCTGTCAATTGACTTTATATTTTACTCATCATCTCCTCCGAATTTATCACGGAGTGTTCAGAGTTGTTCGGATTAATACCTACAGCTGAGTTTCATCATCGGACGTTAAGGTAGGATACAAATTCCACCCGTATTACCTCGACGTCCGTCGTTCCAAAAGTGATCGTTTTTTTTGTTTTTTTGAGTGGCGGAGAGTTTATTGCCAGTTCTTCTCTTCCGTTCTACGCCCTTGATTTGAGAACTGGCAGTAAATGTAAAATTAGAAGCATTTAATGTATATTTCTTTTTTTGACGTTCATAAGTGTACATTGTGTTAGCTATATGTATAAATAATTTTTGACTTTTTAAGGCTGTTTTTTCCGCGCCCCATTTCCGATCGAATTCGAATTAGGGTATTATCAAAGAGTGCACCAATTCTTAAAAGGCCGGCAACGGACTCGCGAGCCCTCTGGCATTGAGAGTGCCCATGGGCGGCGGTATCATTTAACATCTAGTGCCCACTTGTCCCGTTCTATAAAAAAAATACAACCGGTTCACTGACTGGTTATACCTGAATGGTAGTCGTAGTTTGCGTGATCGCTGGGTGTCTCCTGTCCTAATCGCTTTCGGTATTCACCTGCGAAGTGCCCTATTAAAGTGTCCATCATTATTGCCTGCTTTGAAAATACCTGGAATTAAAATCACACACATATTATATTTTAGGATCAAAATCGATCGAAAAACAAATTTTTTTTTCAAATTAGCGCTAATTTTCAAAATAATAAACAATAAATAGCATTTTATATAGTGTGTGTGATTTGTGAAGGAAAGATAATTGCCGTGGGATTTGAGCTCGCTTTAGTGTCGCTACAGTTCTTAATTTACGTCATTATAGTTCGGTAGTTATATTAAATAAATAAATCGTTTATTTGAAAATAAAGTGGTACATTTAGATCAGTTAATTATAAAAATCCGCACAATCAGCCATATAAAAATAGGTATGCATTGGTTTTAAAAATTAAAAGTACATAGTATATATAGTGAATAAATAAAAATGACGCGAAAAAGAATTATGGTACATAGATATACGAGTGTTTTGAGAAGCTTTGCTTGTTTCGCTAATTTACGAAGCATTTTTGTTAAGTTGGGTTTGCGTTTTTGGCTTTAAACATTGCTAGAAACATTATCACATTTATTTTTATGGGTCCGAAGAAGATGAGGTCTATTGAGGTAGTCAGCGGTGTAACTATATCTGGGGCCCGTGGCAAATTCTTTCGGGGCAATCTTTTGATGGGGCCCTATCAGTAGTCCTTACTCTACTCAATTACACGTTGTATATGTCCCACGAATGGCCATAGGCCTCCTCTCTTAGGCGAGAGGGAATGGTCAGTAGTCCTAACGCTAGCCCAATGCGTATTAGAGATTTAACATTCATCCATAGAACATAATGTCTCTTGGACAGGGGGCCCGTGGCATTTTGCCAGCCCTGTCACCCTATTGTTACGTCACTGGAGGTGGTGTATTGGGTGCTGGAACGGATTAATGGCATTTCAATTATTTTCAATGGGGCAATTGGTTTTACGAATTTCAGATTCCAAGTCGAGGTACCACCGTATATGAATTCGCATACGCCAGTTCTTTTCCCGCAGACTCTATATTTCCTTTCAGCTGTTATTACCTGTAATATCTTGGAGACTCGTAAGCCATTTTCAACGACCATAAACTGTAGGAAGAGACACGGCAGACAATCTTCATTATCGTCTGATGGTAGACCGATATCCCATGACAATTCTTCATACAGCAATCCCAGTAATACCGTCTGGAAGTTTAATTTCGATTTAAAAAAAAATATATTCGCTATTTTCTATAGTTTCACTAGATATCGTTTAAAATGCTTAAAATTGGCCCGAGTAAATCTCTATCGAGAATCTTTGGGGTCGCTGCCGATAATCTCCGCTTAGTCGAAGATCAAGCAAATGGATTCCGAATATTATATCCCCAAGCAGGCGCTTGATGGGAACCCGCAAGGAATGCGGAGCATTGCCGTCCCAAGCAAACCTGTCGTCGTACAGTTGGAGAGGCAAAGAGAGCTGGAAAGACTTGGGGTGAGGTGAAATACGAAGCTCAACACCGAAAGCGATGACACTGTGAACGCCCTTTGCCCCATTTTGGGGTTATAGGACATTAAGTGAAGTAAGTCGAGATACTTAAAATTTAAAATTATTTGAGGATAATTTAAATTTTTTTGGTTTCTTAAATCATTCAAAGGCGTCAGAAAGGAGTGTCCATGGGTGGCCACTTAACATCAAGTGCCTGCTGTTAAATAAAAAAATTAACATGTAATTAAAATTTAATTTTGAATTTGTTTTGATTTTCTTTTTAATTGAAATTGTAAATACTGTATACTTGATAGTAAATTTGAAGTGATTTTTAATATGTTTAGACAGATCAGGTGCCTATTAAAAAATATTAACATGGAATTGCAAATTATAAGAGTTTTATATCCATCACTCCAATCTTTTGAAAACCTTTTAAAAATCTATTACCTGGTGGGGCAGTCTTAATATTACTCTGAAAGTTACCCTGAGAGTTTCCTTGGCAATATTTTCCCCCGAACACAATGACAAACCTGGGTTGGAACACACACTTGCAGCACGCTTGCGGTGTCTTCTTTTGATACTCACACTTTCCGTGTCATCAATGACGTATACCCCATTGGAGTTAACAGCCACCAGCACTGGAATGTCTTCATGCGTCAAAAGACTCGTTAAACTTCGGACTGGTTGTTCTATTTGACCTTGGAAGAACGCTGCTCTGTGGTATTAAAAGTATCTGAAAATATTTCATATTAATGTTTTATTTTAAACACAAAGTTATGTTAAATATAATAGTAAAGCGGCTTAGAGATAAAAATAGTGGTCAAATAACAAAAAAATTCTATCTATTTTACTATGGGACATTCCTGCTCATACTTTGGTTTAACTGCAAATTCGCAGCCGTTAATTTGTCAGTACACATGGCAATTAAACAAGATTTATATGGAAATTGTTGTTGATTCGCTGGAACTGTAATATTCATCAAGGTGGTAATGTTTTTTTAACGACATTGTTCTGATGCTTTAAGATTCTTTGTACTGTGCGCCGTCAAATGGTAAGATAGTAAAAGTGACACTTCAGAGTTTTACACTGGTGCAGATGGCTGCCAACATTAGGAATGGTACCAACAGGACAAAAAAACCATTTTTTTTAATTTTTTTATGGAAAATTTTTTCAAATTTTTTTTTAATTTTTTGTATATGATTGGATTTAAATGTCTATATTGACCGGACTATTAATTTGTCCTAGTTCGTCGATTTTTGTTGTGACTGTTAGCATAAAAAGTGAAATCAAAGCTTGTGTTAGATATGACTGTGTATGGAACAGTGGCAACTCGAGGAATACTCATACATATTATAGATTTCCATAATTTTCAGCCATATAAATTACATATTTAAAGACACGAAGGCCATGGGAGTCTGATCCCTTGGAAGATGGCACAACGGACCAAATGCTCATCACATCGATGTTTGTTTCCACAAAAAAAGCAGAGGCGGCTACAGCCGGGGAAATAAAAAACGGTAAAGGGTCTTCCTTCAACTGATTTTGTTCCCGTGGAACACTTCGCAGTCAGAGGCGCTTATTAAAGATTTAAGTTGGGTGGGGGGGGGGGGGGGGGGGGCCCCGGGGGGGGGGCTTTCCCCGCTCTTCGAATAAGTAACCACTAAGAATGCTGCCAACATTAAAGATACCAACAGGACCAAACTTTTTTTTAATTTTCTTTTTATTAATGTTTAATTATTTTTAATATTACTTTGAGGTTAAGAAAATTGTAAATACTGTATATTCGATTGTTATATTTTAAAAAACTATAAATATATTATACGAAACTATTTAGACGAATTAAAACGACTTTAAAATATCATAATTCCTGTATTTTGAAACCCTTACGTCTCAATAGCTACTACACTAAGGGAGCGTTCAAGTATTACGTCACGCAATTTTTGAAGATTATTGCCCCCCCCATATGTACCGCGCCGTAACGTTTTTCTGTACCCATGTAGTAAAACGTTTCGTGACCACCTAGTGACTCTTTCTACCTAAAAGTTACCATTATGTCGTGTTAAGTACTGGAAAGTCGAAAATAGTATTACAATAACGCGTAATTCAATCCCCGCCCCGCATCGTAACGTTTTACAAAAGCAACACGCAACGTTTTAAATTCGTTACGTCATACTTGAACGCTCCCATACTCAAATACCCTATTCTGATAACCTACTTTTTCAAAAGTATTGAATTCTCACCCATAAGTTGGCAATATCCTGGTATGAGCGAGATACTTGTGTCTCAATTTCCTCGGAGGGGCTGCGGGAGGTCTTTGTGCCTGTTCTAGGAGTTTAGCCTCAGGGCTGCCCTTACGCCCCGCGGGCAGTAGTTTTGCCCATTGTCCTGATCTTGCATGCTTTGGCAGATATTTGTCCTGGTTCTCTCTGTTAAGTCATGTTTACTATACGGTAAAATTGCATCCGGTCTTTAAAAAACATCCTACTTTCTACGACTCGTTAATTTTTGTTTAGCCTATTCGACATGTGATAATTACTGGTGATAAAATAGATTACTATTATAACATTTATATTTGTTTTAACTGCAAGCTTACTCCGTAATATGATTACCGACTGTGATTTTAGACCACGCAATATCAATATAAAAATAAAAATATTTAAATTGGGGTTTTTTGTGTACCAATGTCAAGCAATTGTTACCTAATTAGGTTATTAATAAGTTCTAATTGGTAAACGATTCATAACAGGTGTCTCAAAAGAAAGTTTAAATTTATTTATTTAGCGTTATGTGTAAATGTTAGACGAATTCTTGGTGCCTGAACTTCAAAACTATCCTGACTAACCAAAGAAGATGGTTCCAGCAGGTGTATAAGCCAACTTCTCTGGCGCAATTGAAAGAAAATATCCGTCACGATATGGCAACCATCACATTTATTGTTCGATTAAATGAGTGCTGCGAACGTGAGGGTCTATATTTTTTTTTTATTGTTACGTTTTCCAAACAATTTTCCGACTATGTAGTCGTCGGAGGTGTTACAAAGCTTACATAAATGGTTTTGGTTACCCGAATGTTTACATTCTATTACTATATTACCATATTACTATACTACTATATTACTATTTCTACTACTACCTATTTCTTTTGACAACCCCCTGCATGACCCTCACAGCAAATCCCAAAAAGATGCCCCTCAACCTAACATTGAGCATTATTCCCTTCAAACTCGTCTCCGTTACCCTCATGCCCATAGCTTGCTCAGCGTTATACCTGTCATTATACGTCTCCATACATGGGACAGTTGGTCAGAACATGCAGCACTGTCTCTTCAGCTGCATCGCCACAAGGACAGGCGCAACTTTGTCTAACCCTGAACCTGTAAAGATACGACAAGAAGCCACCGTGACCTGTCAACATATGAGTAATCAATCCCGTCGGTTTCATTTGTTTAATTATCGAAAAGGCCGAAGCAACATTTGGAAGGAATAACTTAGTTATTGCAGCTTTCGCAGTTTCGCCGTCTCGATATCTGTGATTCCATTTTTCTATCGTGTTTCCACGTAGACAGTTCTTCAAATGCGATATGGGAAATCTATTGTACACGGGCGCCTCTTCTAGATGCGCAGCTTCCTTTGCTAGTTGGTCTGCTCTTTCATTCCCCTCAACGCCCGAATGCGCTTTAACCCAAAAAGATATCAATTTTTTGTTGATTAAACGCGCTTTATTTATGTTCTTACGAATTTCAACTACAAGGGGATTGAAAGAGCGACACCCGCAACACTTTCGAGTGCACTTCGGGAGTCACTAAATACGCCGTAGGTTGTTTCTGGGTGACAAAGGATCCTTTGAGTTGCTTTAAGAATAGCCACCAGTTCAGCTTGATACACGGAACAGCATGAAGATAGTTTCAGTTTAAAAGTCTCAAATTTGGCACCATTTTTCCATAAGGAAACGCTGGCACCGACCAATTCGTCTACTTTACTTCCGTCCGTATATATCTTTACTGCCGGTGCATCTATTCTAGGACCCTCTTGTTCTCTATAGGCTATAAATTTGATATCAGATTCTTTGGAGGGGTGAGGCATACACATCCACGATACTCTTTGCTCCAGGTCACCTTCCAATTCAGACTGAAATAATCCTCTCTTTGCTTCGTATAGCACAGGAGGGTCTATATTTAGATGGTATTATTTTTAAGAAATAAATTCCCAAAACGTGTGCTTTAATAATGAATAAACACTTTTTTGATACACGACTTACTTTTTTTTAATCGATCAACTAAATGTGAACTTTCTTTTGAGACACCTTGCATTTGTTCACTTGTGTGTGTGAGAAATACTAAATTAATACCACCGTAATAATATTGATTACACAAAAAATAGAACCAGTAGCTGTATTTGAGTAGTTTTCGAAATAATTTACATATTTTTTCGTAATTTATTTGATTATTAGTATATTTCACCTTGCAACCCATTACTGATATATAACATAATATGACAAGAAGGCCTAGACAATGGACAATGGAAATATAAATCAATGCTTAAAAATATAAGAATATACTTCGCATTACCACTTACTCATAAAAGAATTAAAAACAGAGATACTAAACACTGATTTGTCTCTTTTCAACCAAGAAAGAGAAGAGAGAATGAGGGGAGGTTTTTAGCTGGGAAATCCTACATTTTTGCTAACTTTCTGTCCGTAAAAAACACTCTCTCACCTAAAGAACTTTGCGGTATGTCTATGGGGATCATACGGACCGAGCTGTATTCTGGCTTGCAGGCCGCCAAGCGTCAGGGCTTGGGCGCTTTCGAGAGGATACCGACCTGTGACTACATTGTGACGGGCCTCTTCGTAAAGTAACTCTTGAATCCGGGAATCCCTGAAATATGATGCTGTGTGATGATTGCTAGAATGTTTGTAGAAATAATAACACCCATAAATTAAACAATAGATTTTTTATTTCCGTTGAATAAATTTATTAAATAAAAAATCCATGAAGACATGAACAGCTGGACAGAAGTTTATCTTTAATTTTTTTAAGTTCCATTATGGTTCGTATCGATCACCTGCAACCACTAGAATGCGTGAAACGATGAGCTCTGGTGGCGAAAAAATTAAATAAATATTCTCTCACTTAATTCCTTCCTCAAGATGCTTAGGAAAGAAGACATTCCTCTGAAGCCTTAACGCTGGCTGGTCCCTGCCTCTTCGGGATTCGGATCCGTGACCATATCTTTGGAGTAGTTTCTGCCAACCTGCCCATATACGCCACGGACAATGGTGGGGCTTTAATTGAATTTCTGAAATCGAGAGAAAATGGCATTGGGGGCAAATTCGAAATTTTTGAGTGTTTTTTCAATTCGTCGCTGTAGAATGATGACCTCGTATGTCCAGAGAACCAAACATTACTGGAAACGAAAATAATGTTTCATTTCGTCAATATTCGGTAAAATATTATTATGTGTTTTTGTCCATAGTTTTAGATGGTAAAAAGGACTAATTTATTAATAACATAAATAAGTCCTTACTTTATTATATCAGTTAAATGAAATAAGAGTCTAAGAACAAAAAATAAATGTTTTTATGACATACGAGGTTATCGTTCTACAGTGACGATATGTATTTACCATCTGCACGGCATTCGGTAAAATGTTTATAATATTGTCTTCATTACGCGAGTAACACACATATTCCAATAAACAATTTAGCGGCAATAGATGGCATATGGCAACACTTCAATAGACTCCAATTATAGGAACAAATAGTTGTCAAGTGTCAACTTCATGTGGCAGTCTCTCTCTGACCACCATTGCCGATGACTCGTATGTCATGTGCACACGTCGTATGTAAATAACAAAATACTTTCGTAAATTTATTACACTGATAAGTTATAAATTTATTTATATTGTCAATAAATACGTTAAAAGTTTTTTATACACTATGGAGTAAATTCTATCGAATCAAATCTTTTACCAATCCAGTCTGGATTGGTAAAAGATTTGACTTGGTACTAGAACAAAATACGCTTAAATTTCACTTCATACAATACACAAGAGCGGATCCATGGGGACATAAACCCCCGGCTGGGGTTTTTTGTTCAAGGGGGAAAGGGTCACTATTTAATTTTTAATCTGCAGTCTTACAAAATAACTTTTATTAGTGGGTATTTACAGATTCTACATAATTGTACAAAAAAATTGTACTTGGATTTTTACTCTAATTTGAATTCTAAATCCGTCCTTGTTTAGGTCTAACTATAAGCTATCATTCGCTGTTCATATATAAAAAGACGGTAGTTGCAAGTGAAAACTTTTGTTACATATTCTACAAATATTAAAATACATTCTCACCTAATAAAGGACTACACATCCACAGAGCAAACACATTCGCAGCAAGATTTCTGGCGCTCGGTGTGTTCAACCCTAACTCCTCAGTTGCCAGTACAGCATTGAGGAACCTGGAAGCCGTGACGCACGAAGGCACCTCCTCAGAACTCATCTCAACCATGATGGCTATTCGGGACATCAGATAGACGCAGGTCACAGGATTTGAAGGTCCGGTGGAAGATGATGCGCCAGAGGAGCCTAAAGGATTTTTTATGTTCAAATAAACTCGTTTGCCCCCGTCATATAAAAATATGCAGCGAACGAAGTGATGGGGGCCGTTCAAGAATCACGTACGCAGTATAGGGGGTAGGGGGAGTCTTTGATTTTCTTATTGGGAGATTATGTCAACAGTAATTATTTACTTTTTTACACATATTACCCACACATTGTCTATGCTTGACTACGAAATGCATTTTCTACGATTCCTACAAAAAAGTAATACGTTTATGTACTATTATTTTTGAGAGCTTTGCTTGCTTTTGGTGACAAGAGGAGGGGGGGGGATAAATTGCAGTAAATCTGCTTACGTAATACTTGAACGGCCCCATTCCAGCAAATTCATCTATAAGAGAATAATATATGTTATTCTGTTGATTTTATAAATAAATAAAAATAAAATAAAAAGCCTTTTATTTCCCAATATAGTTAATTAATAAGGTACATTTCTTTATGTGGTTTTCTAAACCTATGCAAAACTTAACAAAATCTGTTAGAAAATGAATAAATATTATGACTATATTTCTATCATGCTAAGTATTATTATTTACAGTTTTTGATAAAATTATTGTAAGGAACCCCTTCAGGTGAAGGCCTCTTCCAGCTTTTGCCAGTTTTCTCTATTTTGCGCTATGTGTGATTTGGGGCCACTATTTTTTTAATATCTTCTTCCCACTGGAAGGTGCCTCTGCAGCGTTTTCCTTAACTGGTTAATAGATTGTTTTCTTCGGTTGATAAGTTGGTTTTATATGGTTGGTTAATTAATTGCTCGACAATTCGGTCAATTCTATACTGACTGCCAAGACAAAGAATTACACAATAATGATTCAGTGGCTAACTAAAGGTTTTAAATAAACGATCAGCGATTCTGTTCTATTGATATTGTAAAGACAATTTAAATTATTATTATAAAATAGTCTAATATTAAAATTAATTTTTTAAATTTTAAACCAAACGCTATCTATACATGTATATGTGCACCTCAACAGTCAAGTGTTACGGTAGCTTAAAAATACACGTAATTAAAAGTACCTAAGTATATCATAGTGCGTGCTTACTTACGTTCGGTCGCTACTCAACATTTGAATTGATTATCAGGGTAAGATTCAGAAACGAGAGTTAGCGCTAAGTATGACTCCCGCACGTCAAAAATATATTGGATTTTGACACATCTGACACATAATTGGCGCTAAGTATTGTTTTTGAATCTCACCTCAAGTATAAACCCCGTACGTCAGATTCAATGCTTTTCACATACAAGAGATACTTAATCATGTGATAGACATTTTGAAAATATGTCTTACCAGGTAAAGGGGGCGAAATGGCACTGGAAGAACTACCCCCACTAGTGATAGGTTCCGTGGTACTAAACGACCCTGCAGCGATGCTACTTGAACCTGTCTGATTCGAACAACTACTTAAGTTTGATCCTGAAAAGAAATCAGCTGTACAAGATTTTTTGTGTCTCATTCAAAATGTTCAGGATCACGGATTAAGGATTTTATTTTTAAATAATCAAATTAACGATTTATTTTTCAGATATATCCATAAAAGAACTAGTAAATATTTATTATAAATACTAAAATATAAATATATTATTGTTATTTTTATAAAATTTTACATACCCATAACACTTTTCTCCAATGAATCAGAACTATTGCTCTCTTTGGAGTCCGGCAGGGGCTTATGAGGATCATGTTTGTCCCAATCCCCATGTCGGCCCAGAGGACTGTAGGACAGATGAGGCAATCGCTGCGACACGGAATATAAATGCGCGTTCACTTCCGCCTGCAATTTCTGACTTTGCATAGAATAGTACTCCTCGCGAGATCGAAATTCACTGAAAGAGTAAGTATATGTAGATATAAAAATATAAGACTTTTATAGATATATTCCAGCTTTACATAATATAATATAAACGATTCCTAACTTCAACCGAAATTTGCGAGCTGATTTATAAATTGAGAGCTGAGATGAGGCTTATTTTTTATTTTATTTAATACATAACATTATAATAGGTATATATGTATACATAATTATATTGGCTATTTATAATACATGTAATAAAACTGTAGTTACATTTTCTAAAATATAACAAGTGAAGGATTTCCTAGGTCTAGTTAATATCTATTTATTTCTACTAAATATACAACATTAATTTCTGAAAAATAAAAATACATACAATTATTTAATCGATGCATTTTTTGTGTGTTCTTTTTTCGATATTCCAGTAACTTATATATTATTATAATATTAAACCTACTTGTATTGATATTCAGCCTGTATTGGATATCCTCGCCGTGTGTAGTCCACAGGAATAATAGTAATATAATTTCCACTATTTTGTACATTTGGGCTTTCAACATAAGCCCCCATTTCTGATTGGTGTTCCATGTGAATATTATCTCAACATTAACTCATAAATTGCAAGTGTATAAAAACAAAACAATATTGATTGGTTTTCGAGTATTAGCGCCGTGCCGCGCAAACGCGGCTTACTCGCCACAGATGAAACAATCGTATGTAGAGCATACGCAGTATTTCACATATTTTAAAAATATTTTCATTTTAATTAATTGTTTTCTTGAATATACATAAAAGAAAGAAAATAAATAATACATGGCAAATTCCTCCTTCCTGTTTTTAAAGTTCGGTTATAAATGAGATGATAGAGAATAAAGGTAAAACAATACTATCTACTCACTTATGATGACTTTGACAGATAACAACCTTGAAAATGACATTTTGCTATTTCCAGGCGCGAAGTGCCAGCTGTTCAATGTTTATTGTTTTCCAAGTTTAATGTTTTGATTTTTGTTGATTTCCATTTAAATAAAACGTACCAAAGTTATGTATGGTATTTAGTATTACTGCCACAGGGTTTAAGTTAACTTGTGTATAAGACCAAGTTCTACGTAGAGGATTAGGAATTGGTAACAAGCGTAGGCTGGAGTGATATGATCAGGCAGAAATAAACACAATTACCACAAATTAAGTTAAAACAGTGACCCATAATCGCTTACATAATTAATAAACATCTGTAAACGGTATTTATAATCCCATTTTGTTGAAGCCTTCCCAACAGCATGCCTTTAGCTTCTTTTATTTAATATTTGCATTTTAATGATGTCTAACATGTTATTCAAAGGTAAAATATGTCACAAATAGAGGCAAAGTTAAAAGAGTATAGAGCACTTAGAAAGCGACAACAGTTTATAGATAATATCAAACAAAAATTGGACAACTCTAAAGACAAGCTCATTAACTTTTTAGTTCCAAAATCAGTTGAAATGGATAAAAAAGAGGAAGAAGTTATATTGGTATGTCACCCTACTGAAGTTGCCTGTTAATTTTCATTAAATATTGCCTACCATTAAAAAGTATTTTTTTTAAACTTATAATTTAATTTCAGTTGGAATGTGAGGAACATCCAACAAACAATAGCTCAAAATTACTACTTGAAGATATAGTAGATGTAACATCGGAAACTAGTGAAGTTGAATATGAAGAAAATCAAGAAACATGGCGGTATTGTGTGCTAAAATGGTCAATATATGGTGTTATTTGGTTAACCTTATATATAATTTTTCTTAATCTACAGTTTGGTGCAGTATTTTTTGTTATATCAGTACTTGTTGGTATTTGTTTAAATACAAGTACAAAACCTAAAAAGAAAGGTGAAATTTCAGCATATAGTGTATTCAATAAGAATTGCAAAAGTATTGATGGTACACTAAAAGCCGAACAGTTTGAAAAAGAAATTAGATATGGTGCAGGAACTGTTCGCTCATTTTAAGCAAATTTGGTTTGTATTACTTTTAAATGTATATTACAAATTAATATAAATAAAACTAATTTAATCATTTTTGGTTTTAATAATCACATCAATATCTAACAAGACATATTTTCATATTAACACAAATAACAAATTCAGTAAAAAAAGAAACTGTATCTTGTAGAATAAAAAAAATATGGAAGTCAACAGCTGTGTCATGAAACTTATGGTATGATATTTACAACAACTTTATTTTCAAGGAAATCATAAAACAATTCACATCGCTTACTAATATTCATACCATAACTAACTACATTAAAAAATTTTTGTCAATTAAAAGCAAGCTGTAATTACTGCTAACAGTATGTTAATGTTTATGACATGCAACTTAAGCCTAATAAAATCTTTAATATAATATACATATTTTGATAATATAGTATATAAAAAGAAATAAATGTCTATTTAAATATAATAGTAATTAGCAAAGATCTTATTTGTCAATAACAATTGAGCATAGTACGGAATGTGACAACTGATAAGCTAGTAAATGCATTTAAGAATGTCATAATTTAGAAACATCTCCTTGACTAAGATACCAAAGATATACATAATTGAATTTAAAAAATAAACTGGACAAATATGTTTAAATAAGGCCAATGATTGTAGAATGTTCGATGATGTATGATATGTTCTCATGGGATTTTGAGGATAAAATTATGACACCTTTTCTTCAATTATTTATTTTATAAATGCAAAACTATGAACCAGGATTCACTGAAATGTATAATCTAAATGATTCTTTAAGTCTTTCCTATTACATGCATCAATATATAACATTTTAAAATGCCAAATTCCAGACAATACAATAAATGGGCAGGATACATTCCTCAAGTCTTGTGCATAGTCTTAATTTTTCTGAATCATATATCAAAATGTCTAATTACGTTATCCTGTAATATTTAAACAAAATTATTAATAGTAAGACCCCAACCAGATTTGAAATAAGTTCCTAAGCTACTTTAACAGATTTATAAAGAAACAGAATTCTTTGTTAAACTAATTAATCAGATAACTATCGAAATCGTACCATAGTCTAAAGATAGATTTTCGTGTTCAAGTACGCAAGTATTTCTATAATCTCAAAACATGTATAATACAATATAATCTTCAACTAATTAGCTTTTTCAATCTTCATTTTTTTGATCAATTTCTTTTAAATGTAGCCTACAAATTAAACTACTTTTTTGAATTGGAAATAATTAAATATTTTTATATCAGCTAATTGCAAGGTGCTAAAAAAAATTTTTTTTTGGAAGTAATATACTTTAAATAAAACACTTTTACGCCTCAAACTCGTTGCTGATACGTGTCGAGTACACCCATTATATTATTTAAGTACGGCTACATTTAAAATCTTGATCTCTGTGTGTAAATGTATTAATATACATTTAAACTTGTAGTAATGTGTTATTAATAGATGAAATTGAACAGTATAAGGCACCCATGTTAGCAATCGGTATCTAGGATGAACTCTAACCTGATATATATGGACAAACAACTCAAAATACATGATAGATGGTCATATCTAGAATGCATGGCATTCCGTTTAGTATAATCTCAAATGTAATAAGATACATAAAAGTTACTTAGTATTTTTGACGGTTTTTATATGAGTATTGAACTGCACAAAAATACAATATGCTTAAAGATATCTATAAAATTGTAAAATATGTAACAGAACTTTATTTAACAATTAAACTATATGGCAATTCCGTGCTGAGTAATTATAATAGGGGGCAGGAAAACCACATCTATGGCTTCCTTATAAACCAATCAATAAATTATAGTACACACGGTTCGCGAAATCCAGTGCTGGATCGTCCAAATATGCACATTCATTGAGCGTGCCAAACACGTTAATTTACATCTAACGTGACAAAGGCATGACACAGACAAACATTGCTATCAGCGCCGCGGTCGCAAACAAAACAGCGATGTTTCAACGGCTAATAGCCAGAGGTGCAGTGAATACCTATAGCACGAACCAAATTTAAAATTGAATAGTTATCGTAATAGACGAAACATTTTTTCGTCGAATATTAGGACGCGCTCCGTGAGAGTATTTAGGACTAAACCGAAGCGCGAATATTGAATTCGTGTTAAGAGTACAGGAGAATATAATGTTGTTTGTCACGACGCATGTTTGTCACGTTCAACGCCTGTAGATATGAACGGACATTAATGTCGTTTATGACACAAAAATAACTTGTTCTAGTGTATAATAAATCTATATACATATGTACTATGTTATAAATTTATATATTGTCGTATGAAAATGTATATGATACAATATCACAATAATATTTGTTAGATGTTTTTGCATTGACTAGGTTAGTTTTCACTTCTTACTTACAACTATTATAACATTGCAAATGGCATTACCTATTATGCTTACGTTACTATGATTTATATAAATATCAAAATCGTTTCCAAAAGACTTGATTCGACCAAATAAACTGTTCATTTAGATGTTTTGCTTTGTTCGGTTTTCTACATCATAACATTCTTAGTTACATACGATCACCAGGGGGCTTGGGTTAGTCAAGATGCCTTCACAGTAGCGTATGAAAGCCCCAAGGGTCATGAGCAATTCGATAATTCAAAAAATATTCTATTAAATAATATAATAGCATTGGTGATCAAGTTATCTTCTCTTACTGATAATGTTTTACGTTTTTGATTATCGCAGATGAACAATTTATTTGATCGATAAATAAATGCATTATTGATTCGTGGTTCTCCTAAACATATTACAAATCGGCCGCCAGCAGTACCCCGAACTCGGAACGAACGGATTCATATCAACCCTTTTTACATCTGGCAACAGAAACGCAACACTAATCGCTATAATCATATGCCATATCGAATGTACTATTTTATAATTTTGTTCTGTCTGCAAAAAAGCGTAGCATACCAAACCAATTGAAACCAGAACTATGCCAAATGGCAGGTGCCTAGAATAATACGTCTTAGGATAACGCATACAATGCGTTTTATTATAGTCTGTATACCACGATGCTAATAAAATGGTAACACCGATCGCAACTGGCAACAAAAACGCAACGAACGAATGCATGTTCCATGTGGTTAGGAGAGCGATAAGGATCGCTCCAGTTAGCTGAAATGTTGATCTGAGTTTATCACCGATAATGCTCATAGCCAGAAGGGTGACCCAAAATGACATTAATCCGCAGTAAAAATCGCCAAATTGTAGTATGTTTCCCCTTATGATGCAAAGCGCAACTTGCGCTGGCGCATCACAAGCGTGGTAGAACGTTGAAAACACCATTGTAAATGCATACATCATGGCTTCGGTGTAGTAGTATCGTATGCAGGCGACGTAAATCGAAAACATGAAGAGAAAGTTGCTAAGTGTCAAAAGTAGTAGCGACACTAACATGTAAACTTTACTGTCCATTCTTGAATCGTCTGAGCAGTCCCAACCTAAAATTTAATAAACAGTTATTGAGAAATGATACTTTTAATATTGTTTTATATAATGTGGCTTTTAGTTTTCGCGTTATAAATTTTATAATTACAGCGTTGTCCAGTAATTAAACATGCGAGACAAGAGATCCAAGTGCCAGAATCCAAGATCCAGGTTGGAATAAACTATTCGAACCCTGGCACTTGGATGTTCCGTTAGAAAATCTTCATATCATTAAACCCAGTATTAAGGCACATAATGATCACCTAATCTATACTAATCATAAAGAGGAAAGATTTGCATGTAAGTATGTTTGTAACGAATTGGCTCAAAAAGTACTGGACCGATTTTAAAAATTATTTCACCATTTGAATGCTACATTATCACTGATTAATATAAGTTGTTTTAATTGTAAGAAGAAAAAAAGGATCCCTACTAACACTACAATAATGTTACCCAATAATGTTCCACAATATTGAAGGATATATCAATATCTACAAAAAATTTTATTAACGCACCCGTGCGAAGTCGGGACTATAAAAAATGTATGAAACAGATGCAGTGGTCATAATCGTCTAAGGGAGCACGGGGTACACCCATTCATGTTTGCGTTTCAAGCGATCAGCTTTGGGCCTACTACATGTATTAATAAATGTTTCGCCAGAAAATAAACAACAGTTAAATATATAATAAATTGTATTTTAGTAAATTAATATAAAAATATTTTAGATGAAAGGGAATTATTATCTCGCTACATAAGGAGATGTAAATTATTCAACTTACTTCCATATCCTGCTGAACACGAACAGTATGACATCACCATACCTCCAAAAGTATTCAATCCACAGTTGCCATGGTTACTGCATCTGCCATTAAGACACGAAGTAGATGATATCGACAATACTACAGTAGCATTGCAATCAGTTTCACCCTCTCTCGTTATATTCGAAAACGTGCTTGATTCTACAGAGCTGTCAGTTTCTGAAGTTGGCGAATCAACGTAGTATTTAGTTCCATTGTCTGAAGTACGACAGGGGCACACGACTTCATCACAAAACAGCCTAAACGTTAAATACCAGTTCCCACTATCCGGATAAGGGATAAGAATTTTCTCGTAAATCGACTCTGAATCCGTACTATTTAAAACAAACAAAGCTGGCTTAACTCTATCATTAAATTTACAGTGTCCAGTCTTCAATGGTATACTAGGGTGACCGATGTCCATACAAATCACGGCCTTGAAGAATTGGTTATCCTCAGTGAACGCTAGCAGCGTACCCTTCTTCAACTCTCTTTTATACCCCATATAGTACTTCAAACTCATCAATAGACTGGCTTCTATCGTTAATGTGCCACCGATATCAATGAACTGGTTAACTTTAAATCGTAAAGCTTTGATTTCATTCGACGTTATGTTCACCAGACTGGTTGCATCTTGTAAGTCTGTGGTGGGTAAGCCATAATCGAATGTGAAAAATCGACCTTTGTCGTCGCGCATAAGGTCTATAATAGATTGATCTGCGGGTTCATCATATTCTCTGAGGTAGTAAGATTCGCAGTCTGCTATATTTGAAGTGTTACCAAAAATATTATCCACTTTTATATAATGCCATGAGCTTGGAGAAGAATCGAATACGATTCTTTGTATATTATTCAGTCTTGGATCAAAGTTGCAGTATATTATATAATTTTCCTGTGACGGTATTGAATTTGGTTGCACTTGTAATGTTATTTTTGAATCATTAGATGCAGTATTAACTACAGTTATGTTCAGACTTATAGGATTTATATTATCTGTGGACATACATTTATATAATGCTGGCAATTGTTGATAATCTATGGTCAGAGTGTTATAGCAGTCTATTATTTCAATTTTCTCTTCCTTTTTTACTTGTAAATCTGTGTACAATATTGTGTGGCAATCAGCAACTAAACCTGAAATAATAGAAAAGGCACATACATTTTTTTGTATACTTTATAAAATTTCGTCTTTACGAACGGTCTTGGACGGTAACTTTTAAAAAATTTACTAAAATATTTTGATTAAAAGGGTGAAATAATTTTTATTATCCTGTATTTAGGGTTTTATACAGATGTCGTCTTATATATATAAGATTTAAAAAAATATAAGCAAATATTCATCGCAACAAAATCTACCTAGGTTAATAACAATTATTATTAATCGCGCACCTTTTCGATACTAAATGGCTATTTTAACTTAAGTGCTATGTATGTAGTAACTTAAACCAGAAACTTTTGTTTCTGGTTTTATATAATACATTATACACCTCTTAAGATTTTCTTTATTAGTAAATAGTTTTAGTTAATTTCGGTAATCTGTTTTCTAATTTCAAAAGTACTTATCACGAAAAGTGTTGGCGCACGTTACTCTAAGCTAATTTTCGTTTCGGTGTTAAAATATTGCACCTACCTTAACAGTTATAATGCGATAGTATTTTAGAAACATATTATTTTTCATAATTCTATATTTATAGAAATATAAATCAGTCTGACGGTCGTTAGACTAGAATTTATCTCAATTTTCTCCTTTTATCACGGCGTATACACAATTGACGGAAAGAGACGAAATACTACTCATGAATAAGCAAGACAATCTAATTAATAAATAATACATATACGCTCATATAATATATGAGTTATATATACATATGTTTGATAACTTCAATAAAGGTTTAGAATCTTACTATTTGTAAATTTTTTAAAAATCACACCCTTACCACACCCTACTCCACGCGAAAAGATATTTAAGAATGCCGAGATCCAGTGTATATAGAATCTAACATTGAAACATATAATTATAGAACTTGACTATGGAACCTTGGAACAAAGTTCAAATAGAAAATTGTACTGTTTATTTTATTTTCTTGGCACCGTGCCCAATGCATTTGCAGAAAGTGGTGTAATAATTTTCACCTTGTAAAAATTCATAAAACAATCTCTCTCTTTAATCGAACCGAAATAATACCAACTCAGTATGAGTTCTTTTAGATATTATCTTCCAGTCATAATATCTACATCAGCTTCGAATTTTGAAGACACAATGATTATACTTAATTAGAGATGTATCTATTAAAATCATCGTAATATATGTACTATTAATAGCTGCCCCGCGAACTTCGTTTCGCCTTAATATGACTTTTTTACTTAGCCTACCTTTTTTAGTAGCTACATATGGAACATTTTGCTATACTACCACATAGAGAATATTGTCTTTTCCATTATTTTTATTTATTAATTTTTCACGCCACAAATACCTTCCTCAGAGTTCTAGGAATAAATAGAAAAACTACTCGAATTGGTCCAACCGTGGTCGAGTTTTGAGCTTAGCAACATATTTTGCGATCACTTATATAGACCATTCATAAATAAATCTCACTGAAATAATGACCTTTATGTTGCAACTTAATAATATTAAGTAGTACAAAGATTGTTCCATGAACCTTAGACATACAGTCAAAAAAAGGTTCCGGCTGAAGTCTATGTATTAGGTACTTAACAACGTCATCGGCTGTTACGACTATCGGTTTTTACGACCAAATACATATGAGTACCCTACAATGGCGTTATAATAGATTTTGTCTGTATATGTAAATAATATATAATGATTTATAAAAATGAATTTTGATCCTTTTTAGTTTTGATTCTTTTTAATTTAAGGATTATTATTAGTAATATTTTATGTTTTTAATGCATGTACATATTATGTAATAATTAATCATATGATATACTTGTTTAATATATTATTTATTATGGAAATAAAGAGGCTATAATAATAATATATTATGCAAAAATGTAATCAGTCAGTCTATCTATAAGTTCAGAATAACACTAACATTATTAGTATTTTATTTGATTGATAAAAGGAAACGAGGTTAACGTGGGTTAGACACTTACGACAATTGAATGGAGTCCGCGAAGTAGGTCGGAAGTGGTTACAATCAAGGCAATATGCGCAACCGACAAATTGAGGCGCAATGCATGAATGCAGTGTCGGCTTCAACATTTTGTACCAGATAGTAGAGCATAGCTTATTTATAGACAATATCATATATTATAGTGGACCTATTTGTTTGTGCACTAGCTGAGTTCACAAGAGTTGCTTCCTATATTATTAGTTATAAATTTTATGTATAATTTTTTTTTAATGTTCTTTATGTAGGATAATCGGTGTGGGTATTAATGTGTCCTTCCATCGAATTAGTAATGCTTAATGATAGAAAAAGTTTGTGGATAAAAACTCTAGTTGAAATATATTTTAATAACATTTTGAAAATACACTTATGTTAAAGAAATGATGCATTTTTGTACTGTATCTAAACAAATAAAAATTTAGAGGTGGACCCATTTAGGGGTTTGAAAGATAGATAGTAGCCGATTCTCGACACTGAAATTCATGAATTTGAAAATAAGAATCGGGCGTGCCGTTTCTGAGGGGTGTGGGAACGAACATTGTGACACGGACTAAATAAAGTAGGAGACCAATTTACGAAGTGGCTAATTTAGCATTCGCATAGAGCGTGTTACGCACGAGCATGTTACGCTGTGTTTAAAATGGCGTAACTGCTCGTTAAAACTCTGTGCTCCGCTTTGCCGCCAGTGTTCACGAGATGACAGCAGGGACGTACTTTCTTCTATTTAATTACTGTTTCATCCAAATTAAGAAAAAGAAAAACTTTACATCAAACTTATTTAAAAACAGAGGCGTATGTGTTGGGTTGTCATGAGAATTTAAAAACCAAATGATTACTGGACAATTAAAAACTTTGTACATGTCTCCCAGGTTGAACCACTCGGAATTTAATTGTACCAAGTACATAAGATTTTAATTAATCAAATATAATCATGATCACTCGCGAGGTAGTTCCCATCCTAGAGGCCGGGTAAGTAGGTAAGTAAGTAAGTTAGGAGTAATTTGTATTAACAGTGTGGAAATCACAAAAAAACAAACAAAAAATCTTGTATCTACAAAATAAAAACTGTAGCGCGTTTGTGCTGGCAAAATACCGCGCCGATAGATCATCTGAGGGCCGGCCGCGAACGATAGGTAGTAGCCGTTCTACTAGAATTACTAAATGTGGATTAAATTACACGTTACATAAGACCCACTTTAAGAGGCCCCCTTATCCCCCTTATCCCCTTATTTCTTATAGGTGATCCGAGAAAACAACACTATTTTATAGAAGGTAGGGTTTGCTGACTTTTAGCCGTTTTTGATCAATGAACGTACCTGCCGCGATTACATGTACGTCCGAGGTCAATACGTTATACAGGCTCTTAAAAACTAATTTAATTAATCAATAACCATAAGTTATATGTATTACATACAAAACAATACACACTTGCATTAAGAAAAAAACAGCAACAAAAAGTAGGACTTACTATAAACTAGACTTTGCTGTAAAATAATATATTAAAATCTGAACATGGATACAAAAATTAGGGCACTTTAATACAAAAAGTATATAGCAATAAACAGGTAATACAGATTAGCATTTGAGCAAGGCTGTTTCCTTTTGAAGTTAACTATTTTATCTATATGCGTCGATATTACCACACTTGGTTACTTGGTACTTACATGCGGTACCTAATGTGTTTAAAGTAAAATTGAGGTAATGACGACTTTTCCATTTCATTCATATTATAACAGGTCCAAAGCACCTTGAAATCCGAAACAATTGTTATTTCGCCGGAAATCAAACAAAAGGTACTCCGAGCAATTCGCAAATTGCATTAATATATCTTTTTTTTGGAACGGAATCTCACTGTGGCCTTAAGGGTCATACAGTCAGCTCGGCTGTTTTTGACGAGCGTAGCTCGGCCTTTTTGGGCGTATTTTCCTGCGACTAGCGCAAGGGCGTCTTCCTGTGAGACTCGGACCTCGGACTTGTGCCGTCGCGGGGTGGTCAAGCACCTAAAGGGCAGGACGGAGGCTCACTGGAGTGAGCGAAGTACGAAGTAAATGTCCACGCCTTCCCCGGTGAAGGCGGTTTTTTTACCCGAATCTGATTCATTAATATATCAGCTACATCTTATGTATTATGTGGGTTAAGCTCAGTGAGCAGAGGACGTTGCAGCATTCACTACTACGGCGAGGGCAAGGATCGTGAGGAAAGTGGCACGTCTTAAACCCAACATGTGTCAGACACCGAGAGTTAATCATCTTATTTCACTGAATTATTATTATTCACGGAGCTTCCAAATAAATACTCTTCTACCGCTACTAAGGTATATCATTCTTAAATAAAATTTCATCGTCATTAAACGTGGATGAATGAGTCATTAATTGAAAAATATGCATCGTCTATTTCCACAGATAAATCAATTATTCTGCAGTTTGATATAGAGGATATAAATAAGGATAAATGTGATTATTCGGTTTGTTAGCTCGTATTTTGTATGGTCACTATAGCAACCCTACACAACATTGTACATATTCATAGTTCGTTCTGTTACAAGTCGTTTTCTATGCCGAGGGAGAGTTTATTGCCATTTTTATCGATATTTATTTTACTGACGTTCAGTGTACATTCACCTACATGAATAAATAATATTTATATTTTAAATAATGCAATCAGGAGTCGTATATATTATTTTTTATCAGATAGTAACTGCCTTATTTTAAACTAAACTACACGTAACACGATGTATTCCTATTAACCGGATGACTAAAATTATCCTCTTTGGACCCTTTTACAAGCGTTACTCGTATCACGCCATAGGAATTGTTTAACACAACTACAAATTGTGATTTTGTCCAACAACGACAAACATAGGTACATGAAATGCCACCATTTTCAAAAAGCATAAATTTACATGCAAGTGAATACGTTGTCAGACTGTATGTAGTAAAATAATAGAAGTTAACTGTCCATTTATAAGTTATAACCTATTATCAATCTGGTTATTCATAGACTGATAAGAACTAGCATGATACCACGCAAGTTATATCTAACTGACCAGTGACTTATACAACCCACACATGAGAAAATTTTAATATAAACCAAGCTTATGACTTGTGTTAAGGAAACACAAGTAAAGATACTTCTTAGCAGGTAAATTAGCTAAAATTATTTGTAAGGCTTTTACCTTTACTATAAGTCTCGATCGAAGAGTATTTTTTAATTGAATATACTATATAGAATGGATATAAATCAATGATTTTAAAAGCATATTAAAAAATTAACATTTCATTTTTATTAAACTAACTGAATGATTTTAAGTTATAACTGTAGAATTTTTTATATACATTTAAATATTGGTATACCTAAAGCTTAAATACTAAGGTCCATATCTCAAGTCAAAATTTTGTCTTTAGTCTTGAGTGTTGTCAAATATGTCAAACTTCACATGGGAAATTTTTTTTGACAGCTCTTGAAACTAAATTTAGGTTTAATTGAGGTTCTAGAATATAGGTCTTAGTAAAATGTAACCAGCAACTTCACTTGTGAATCAGGTAAACTCATAGTTATCATATCTTTCTATACAAATATTAATATATTAATTGAATACCTTGTTGTTCAACCTTTTGCCCTCTCGGATCCTCCCATTTTATATAGACTAAGCCAAACCAGTAACCTGGCTTTGGTTTATGTATTGTATATGTTTGGTTCTTTCCATCTGATAAAAGCTCTATTGTATGTATCTCCTCTCTTGATTGTGAATGTATGAAGTTTTTAGGAAAGTCATAGCCATCTGGATTAACTGCAGGGTAGGAGCCATGCTTTATATTTAGTATAACTTCTTGAGGAGTACATGATCCTAAAAATACAATATGTAATTATACAAATGACTCATTGAACGACACAAATTCAAAGGTGATATAAGTTTTTAAGATTACGTAGATAAGGTATATTTATTATCGATATATTTTTTACATACCAATATTATTTAAATGCAGTTCTTCTGATTGAATAGTGAACCGAGCTTCTTCTATGTCCGTTTTTACATGGTACATCAACACAGAAACAGTCCGATAACTTCTGAACATAAATACGTCCGTAGCTATCTGCCGGGTAACCAGTTCATAGTTATCAAGTATTTCCGTACGAGTTTTTGTCAACTGCTCTATAAGTCTTCTCCTCCTAATTTCATCCTCATTCTCCTTTTCATCGTTACCGGCCACAAAACACAAAAGCAGAAAATAAAAACAATATGAAAGTTCCATATCATAACATTTGATTTAAATCTATTAAGAATTGAGATTAACTAATTATCTCATCTAATTATTATAAGATAGGTACGAGGACACTCATAAAACATTCGCTATAATTTGTAACAAAATTTGTTTAAAAATATCTATTTTTTAATAACACGAAGAACGAAATTAACGTTCAATTCGGAACTTGATCTACTAAACTGAACATTCAAAATGACAATAAGATGAAGTTCATAGAATTATCAATTTAAACATTTTACAAATGTCAAGCTTTCATTACTGTGGCATCTGACAACTGACAGAAAGCAGGACTGAAGTTTGAAGGTCATGGTAGTGATCGTTGTCGGAAAATTAAGAAAAAAACGTTTTTGCTCTTTGGCTCTTGCGCGCGCATGCCGCCTATCTTTGCCTAACGAAATCTACATTTCGTTGAAAAATGGCTTCGATCACGAATTCGAAGCATTCAGAAGTAAACGGCGATTGTGTTTATACACCACCCAACATGCCGTCTAATAAAGTAACCGTTGTTTTGGGTGCACAGTGGGGTGACGAAGGAAAAGGAAAAGTTGTGGACCTATTAGCTTTGAATTCCGATATCGTGTGTCGGTGCCAGGTATTTATTTGTTTATTTAATAGTTTTACTTGTAAACAATTTCTATAAATTGCCACTAATTCTTTAAATGACACCAGATTTAACATTCGGTTCGTGTTAACTTATAATGTTTACATTATTATTTGTTTTTAGGTTAGGTTTTAAAGCCTAGACAACTTTGATTATATTTTCACTTAGATAATTGTTGTTTCTGATAACGTAATAACGTTGTGTGACTATTGTTGTTTCTTGTAGCTTCATTCTTTGGCGCTTTGCCAAATTGTTTGAAAACAATATTTCGTATTCAAATTAATTCTGGCAAACTGTGTGAATCTCTTGATTTTCATCTGTCTATACTAATTCTTGTTCAATTACGTAACAATACAACAATTCCCGCGAACATTTACATATGTTTTTGATCATGTGATCCTGAATGATGTCAAGCGTAACGTTTTAAAACGTAAATAGCAGACGTAAATAAAAATAAAATTGTGGATTTTTGCCAAGGCCTGGGTCGTTTATTGTCATGGCTCCTGTTGTATTATTAGTTTTTATATAAGTTTAATACCATTTTATTGGGTAGCCAACCAAAAACTTTATAAATAAAAATTTTATACTTGATGATTCCGGTTGCTACAGTATTAAACTGACTTTCAATTGCATAATTACAAATTGTAGGTATAAGTTAACATGATGGCTTTTTGTTCACAATATTTTAAGGAAATTCAATATCTGCAATAGCCTTGAACATGATAACATTAAATGTAAAAAACAGCAAAAACTAGTTTCCAATGATAATTTCATTGTTTTAGTTATTACATAATATAAAAAAAAAACCCTGAACTTGTAAAACCTGTAAAATAAATGTATGATAAAACAACTTAATATTTGGTTTTTAAATTGCACCAATTAAATATTAAAATTAAATCTTCATTAACACAAATTCCCATAAAATAGAAAATATGTAAACACTTAGAAATAGACAATTAAAAGTTCAACTCAAATTTAAAGAGTGTAATGAGGAGTATGTTGTATTAGGTAAACAGGGGTTATCTGTGTTATGAAAAATGCCTATTTACCAATTATTCTCAAGTCTTTCATGCACTACAAAGTTTTAAATTACACACAGACATATTAATGTGAATTAATTATTTTTAGAGTTAAGCTAGAAATAAAGTCTAGTTATACTCAAATTTGTTACTTACGACAAATTAAAAAGTACTTAAAAGTGACTTATGATTTCATAATGCTTGACAAAAACTACACAATACAATAGAAATCACCAAGGTCTTATTTCCATGGTACATTCATTTTATTGAAGTATTGCTTAATAGTAAATTAAATTTATACAACATTATCATTATTGAATCGGTTAACAAATCATGTTTATATTTTAATATAGTTTTGATGACGGTGAGTTTTGACCTACTTTAAGATTTTAATAATAGTCATAACAATATATATTTTATTGATTATATTAAATGAAATACCTATTTTAAATTAGTATGTGAGTTATCTTCTGTATACTCTACAACAGTCAATTCGTGCATTGCACTTACTAGTTTTGTTGATATACTTAGTGTTCAGCGCAAAGTGGCTTGTATAACAAAATTGTGTTTGTACCTATTCGTTAACTAGGGGAAATATATATGTGGGTTAACAGAATATTTGATAAGGGATCATTGAACTTTTATCAAAAGTGGGAATAAGAACTGTCTGCTTTGATAAGCTTATAAGAGCTTATATGAGCTTATATGCCGATAGGTAACAACATTTAGAGTAATTTTAAAAGGAAACCTAAATTTTAGTTCAAATAAATTCTTTATAATATATGTATATGTGCTATAGATAATTATGGGTGCGTGTACTTTGTACGCGCGTAAGAAGTTATACTTCTTTGGCATTATTAAAAATAGTTTTTGATTGCATGCAAATAATTAATTACAATTAAATAATCAAAGACTGTAAAAGGAGTCATTATAGTCAATAAAGTTCAGTTTACATTTGAAAAATTAATTAAATAAATATTTATTATTATTCGAATGTTGTTTTTAAATTATGCCCAATGACGTAGCATCTTCCGTGGGCAACTTCATTCTGTTAATTTTGTGTCACGGTGAGCGCGCATCCTAAATTTTCACTCTCATACATTTTTCATAACGCGCCTAAAGAAGTATAACTTCAAAAACAGCACAGACTTTTTGCTTAGAAGTCAAAAATCAGCCATCAGTAATGTGTTACATTTTACAGGGTGGAAACAATGCTGGACATACAGTGGTTGTGGATGGGAAGGAATTCGACTTTCATCTACTTCCAAGTGGTATCATCAACCAAAAATGTACTTCGGTCATTGGTAAGATGTTGTATGTTTTAGCTATTCGAGCCTTAAGCTTATCCAACTTTTCGAAATTTGAGTTTAAATCTCGCAAAATTCCTTATCATTGTAAAAATCCCAAGCTGATAAACTGAGTCGAAATTAATCTCTAGAATGAATTCGACTCCTATAATACACAAATAAAAAATTGTTTTAATCAGTTTAATTAGGATTCTGAGCAAATTTTATTATGGAATTAAGATAATATAATATTGGACACAAGCTATAAAAATAAATACATTGGTTACGCTTGGATAATAATGCATTACACGTCCCCTTGAAGCGTCGCCAGTGGCGTGTGACGTGCATCCTATTCGCTATTCAATTATATATTTAACGTACATACATGTTTTTACGTACTCCCACTATAGAAGGCGGGCTTAATTATAACAGGTGAATGGGAGTAGTTGCTATTAGAAAATGGCCGAAGCCAAATCAAATGGAATTTCATTCTTGGAATCGTGTTATGAGAGTTCTATTTTTAAAATTATTGCACTACTGTCAATGGTTTTCAAAAAATGCACAGATAAGAATTGTTTCTTAATACGTGGTTACATTTTGTACTAGGGAGCATTATTATTATTTCAGCGCTTTTGGTTTATTGCCTCTGACGACGCAATAATATATTCTACGTATTAAAATGTATCGTTAGCACATAAATTGATAGTAAATAATGATAGTATGTATGTATGCTTTACCAGCCTTGTCTTTTTCATTTATCGGCAAGTAAGTTTAACCTTCAGTGCATAACGTGTCCTTTACCTCTAACAGTTTACTCACGATGCTTAACAGTACGAAAACTCCATACGAGCGTTGCACGGGTTTGAACTCGCACCTTGAGATTTGTTTAATAGTTAGGGATTCCCGTAAGACAAATGTATGTACTGCATTTTGACATATGGGAATCATAGTTCGTTAAGTCTTGTTTCTGAATGAGTCCTTGGGGAGTGAGTCTCACTCAGCCCAATACTGAGAATCATGTAGAAAGCAAAAAATGTTTCACCGTTACGTAATACTTTCAGCGAATGAAACGCTTGCATCATAATCTAAGTACATACTAATAAACAAGTCGTCTGAGACCAATGAATACAAAAACTATGCATATTACTTTTACTGTCATATTTTTGAAGTGAAACTTCTTTTGGCCCATGAGGGTAACATTTTTACGAATGAAACGCAATAATATTAATATTAGCGTCACGAAGATGTGCAGCGTTTTTGTCGAAGAAAAGGGTGAGAGCGATTGAGAGAGAGAGTGAGAAGGGCGAATTAGCTTATAGAAATTATATTTTTAAAATTACAATTTCGTAAAGAGAATTTATGAAATATTATTGTTTTATATTTTATGCAAAATAATTTATTGAAATCTCAAATGACGAATTCTAAATTAAAATGCCACGTGTTTAATGACAATTAAATTTCTGACATATCTTCCTTTTTCCCTCCCTCTAAGTCTCGGAAATCTAAAGTTTTAGCTTTGTATAAATATGAACAAGACTTAAAAATTTGGTTTTCCAAAGATGTTTCACTTTGTACGCACGCACTTTTTTATAGTATAGGGGGAAAACGAGCCTACAGGTCGCCCGGTATGTTACAGTCTTTGAGGGAGTAGTATACTCTTTCTTTAAACAAAAGCAAACTTTACGTATCTACTGGATGTTAGATGAAGAGCGCATTCTTAAAGGTGTATACAATTTTAAGTACTACTAAAATATTTAAAGAGACTGCTGGATCTATTTTAGGCTTAATTCCTTATTTCATACATCTCAATTACAACCACGTAATTTATTAAAATTTAATATGAATATTTTACATTGGGGAAAACATGCCTATCACTATCACATTCACATGGGCGTAAAAGTCAAAAGTAAAAATAATTTATTCATTAACGCCCGAATCCTATAATCAATCCACAATCTGAGATCTATCTGAGATCAGACCGTCGATCGATCTCCTACCTGCATCCCAATAACCAAACCCTACGAAGACAATCCATTTTTGGCGACGGATAAAATGCTCTTTGTCGTTCCTTTTTTACCGAGTTTTCACTCATATTTGATAATCTGTGTAAATAAATAAAATAAAAGTAAATAAAACCGTACAAATAACATTAAAATATACCTACATGAGTATGGTTGAAACATAACAAAGAGTTTTTTTTAATTATATAAAAAAACTGGTGTAAGTTAAAATCTGTTAAAATAGTAACTGTTGAAATCGAACTTTCGTCAACTGTCATTTTCATACAAAGGTCTATCCACAGACACCGATACGACTTCCCATGGATAGCTTGTACCGACAGAAGGCTATTACAATCCGTCGATTGGTTATTGTTACAACATTTGGATTAAGATTACTATCTCAGGTGGTGGATTATGGACTGAGATAGGTTAGTGGGTTCGGCAGAATGTACACTTATGAACGTCAAGAAAGAAGAATACATTAAATGCTTCTAATAAACAATGGAGAATAAAATAGTTTTCGCTCCTTATAAAGCAAACTCTATGTCATAGATGATATAATGCAACATGTTTTATCTTACCATATCATGAAGTGTGCAGTAAACACGTGAGTCAATGGTACGGGCATAGAACAGTGATAAGACCTAATTCATATAATCAGTGTTTGGTTTTGTTACAATACTTAATTTTATAAACATAAAGCAGACTTTTGTCCTATTAGTTGTCATGGTTACTATGTTTCTTTAGTCTCTTTTCATCTTTAGTCCACGTTTAATAAAGAGGCCGTCTTTAAGCGATCTCAATATTTGTTCACTGTAAATCACATAAAAAAATAGTTTAAATTTTAATAACTATCCTTTATGATATCTAGCGATAAAACAAGATTAATTTTATGTTTCCTTGGAATTCAATATTTAAATCGAAATCGTGGTTTCTGCGCACGGCTTTCAAGACGGCATAAAATTCCCGTTGAATTATAATTTTAATCTATGTATAATGTATATATGTCGTAGTACTTGAACTACTTATGATTATATTACACTACTGGTTATGGTCTGACGCGTTACAGTAGGTATTGACTGATAATAATCTTAGCATTATTAAGTAACAACATTTAATCTGTTTTCTTAGGTTTTCCGTGGCATCCGCGATCTTATTTGTATTCTTTCTGTATTCGTTCAAGTATTACGTCACGCAATTTTTGGAGATTATTGACACCCCCCCGTGTAACGCGCCGCAACGTTTTTCTGTACCAAGTACAGTACTGTAACCAAGTATAGTTAAAGGTTTCGTGAGCACCTAGTGACTCTTCATACCTAAAAGAAAATGTGTTGCAAAGTACCGGAAAGTCGAAAATAATATTAACAATAACACGTAATTCAAACCCAAAAAATTCGGTACGTAATACTTGAACGCTCCCTAATGTGGGGTGCTAAAATAATCACGATCACTCTTTTTGTCTCTTATTAAAATCAATATTGGCGTATAGACTTAGCACTTACTACGCCTTAGAAAATCTAAATAATTAAAACATGGCCGGCAATTCGCAAGCCCTCTGACATTGTGTCCATGGGCGGCGGTATCACTTAACATCAGATGAGCGTCCAGTTTGCCTTCTGTTCTATACAACACTTAGTTACAATTCGAAAATATATTTATTCTGTTTTATTATTTCTCATCCATGCGAATGTCCAAGATATGGAATGAAGTATGAGATCTTAATATATATAAATTACGTGTCACGTTGTTTGTCTCCTATGGACTCCTAAACTACCGAACCGATATCAATCAAATTTGCACACCGTGTGCAGTTTGATCCAACTTAAAAGATAGGATAGCTTACATCTCAATTTATACCCGCAATATTATTTTATTGCAAAATATTTGTTTATTATTTGATAGTCAGAATTCTAACAGATGGCGCTGTGTTGAAAGTACCAACGTTTCACATAAGCTACAATTTAATAGCATAACCACCAAAAAAGCATGGTGGTCCCCATGACTAGTGTTTTTCTAGCCGAGACTACTAGTAATATATAAAAATACGTACTTTAGGAAAAAAATATGTAACATAATATGTATTTTTATGTATTAAATCGATTGGGCTTTATATAGTCAAGGTAGATTAGATTGTCATCCCACGCACTAAAGGACAGTTGTATGTCATACTTGACTCCATATCTTGGACATTCTACTGGGACGTTTAGGCAGGACTGGCGCTGTCCTAAAAGTGCTTTAATGAAAATACTAAATACAGATTAAAGTATTCTCATTTAAAAAATCTGTGGCCCGACAAACTTTTTAGGTTTGGGCCTCAGATTTCTGTATCTGTTATTTGTCTAATAGGCAAGTAGGTGATCAGCCACCTGTTTTTTGGTTCTAAAGCAAGCCAGTTTCCTCACGATGTTTTCCTTCATCTTTCGAGCGAATGTTAAATGCGCGCGCACATTGAATGAATGTTCATTGTTGCACAGCCGCGGATCGAACCCACAACTTTAGGCATGAGAGTCGCAAGTTGAAGCCACTAGGCCAACACTGCTGTCAGAGAATTCACATAGTACATATTGTGTTTTCTATACATGACTGTTAAAATAATTGAATGAGATGTCCTTTGTGAATTTCTGATATTGCAGAAATTCACTACAAATCCAATCGTAGAGATTGCATGTAATAATCAACCTAAATAATAATTCTCTTGAATTAGCATAAATTTTAATGCAAATAGTATGATTGAATGGAGATTATTGTAAAGTAATTTCTCGTACCTGTCGTGTATCGGTACGGAGGTTTTTTCCGTGACATGATTTAAGTTCGTTAGGAAAGTTTTTAAATTTCGAATTGTCTTACAAGGTCTTTTATTTATTTGAGAAATTATCGTAGGCTCATAGGTAACTAACTAATAAAAAAATTTTAATATGATTTCGACAGGCAGTTTGCACGAATGTTGGTTGATCAGTCGAGTGGGAATTTTGATATTAACATAACATACTTAGAGTTAAGTCTCGATTCTAAATCTTGCCCTTAGTGTTTTAACTATGCATATCCTGACCTTAAGAATAGGAAATCTAATTGCGCTCTTTTAACTACTCTTTCGTCTTTTTCTATCAAATTTTGTCTACACTGTGATGAAGAAGGACAGACTTTAGTCAAATAGTGGAATTCAGATTCTAGTTCAGATAAAAGAATATTATACTTTGTTCTGTGGAACGTCAATTATCCCTATTTGCCACAGAATTGCCTACATATTATAGAATTTATTACAAAATACACGTTGAATTATATCTACCTCCATTTTGAAGTCTGTCAAATATAATGTTTTTTTTAATATTCGAGCTTCGCAGCTTATTTACTAAGCCTATAAGAACAGTCATGTTGTCATTTAGTTTATCATTATAGGCAATGGTGTCGTGATCCACCTGCCTGGACTATTCGAGGAGCTGAAGAAAAACGAGCTGAAGGGGATGGAAGGTTGGCAGGACCGACTCATTATTTCAGATCGTGCTCACCTGGTTTTCGACGTTCATCAGCAGGTAATTTTGTCATCTATGGAGAGCATTCACTAGTGATTTTGTATGATTAAATTGATTTCAACGCTTTGCTTAATCAATCGGTTAACTGAAGTGTGTTTACAAGTGAATTTCTATTATTAATGTTTTATTAAAAGCATCAGTTCAGGCACTATAAAAGGTTTATCACCTACATGCCTATTAGAAAAAAATTGTGCGTGTACTAGGTGTACACACGTAAGAAGTGAAACTTCTTTATGATCTTATTTTTCGAAAAATGATCTACTATATGCAACTTTACAGAAATTCGTTAAATTAGATAAAGTTTAACAAAAGGCTTTTATTATCATAGACATTAATACAAATATTTCATTTTACCTTATTACTACGAAGATTATTATAGAATTTCATTAATTGTAATAGAATTATTACTATCATTGAAAAACGTGACGATTTGCTACAAAATTTCTCCCATACGTCGATAAAGAAGTTTCATTCCAACGCCGATAAAGAAGTTTGACTTCAAAAAGCAACATGGCGCGTAACCGAAAAATGTGACGCGTAACGAAAAAATGTTACACTAAATTTTTTTCCAACCTCGATAAAGAAGTTTCACTTCAAAAACAAATGATTACGAAACAGATACAGATATCTGAGATCCAGACCTAGACGCTTGTCATGCCCCATTGGATATTGTGGATACTTTTCTTATTTATTTCCGTATTTTCTTTAATAATAAATAATACACGATATCACTGTAAAGCGTGACAGTAATACATTTTTCAATCAGTATTATTGAGATGTTTATTTTATTTACCATAGCATAACGAAAAATTTCAGTTTAATATTGAGTTAAAATTATTTTAATAGCTTATTCCAAACAAGTTTTAATTGTATTAGAAAAATAGAACGTTCAAGGCAGAAGAAGTTTTACATAAATGGGTAAAAAAACTTGTAAACGAAAAACCTAATTTAAAAAATATTATCTCACAATAAATATAAATATGCATCGCGCAGGTTGATGGTCTCCAAGAGGCGGAAAAGGGCAAGAACTCCCTTGGCACAACCAAAAAGGGAATTGGTCCAACATACTCCTCAAAGGCCACAAGAAATGGCATCAGAATTGGCGACCTCTTGGGCGATTTCACAATGTTTGAGGAAAAGTGAGTGTTATTTATTTACCCTTTAACTCAAACTCAAAATATCTTTATTCATATAGGTAAACAATGACACTTATGAACGTCAAAAAAGAAGTTAAATTAACTGTAAATTTATATTTACTACCAGTTCGCATATCAAGGGTGGCACTCTTTTTAATCGCTAAGTTTTGAGTCATACAAATTGTTTGAAATGGAGCAAATCAATCCCAAGGATTAGGATCATTTAAGTATTCGTGAAATTTATAAAAAGTTTTATTGATTAATTTATAAAACAGATAAACAAAAAGAATGCAACAAAAGCAGTGTTAGCCTAGTCGCTTGAGCTTGCGATTTTCATGCCTCAGGTTCGAACCCCGGCTGTGCACCAATAGACGATACCGCCTAGCTCGTACGGTGAAGGAAACTATGTCTTGACACCATTTCTCTACATGAAAAAAATGTATCACGAAACAGATAACGATATCTGACGAGAAAGAGCAAGGCTTTAGGCGTACTATAAAGTTAACGATTATCTAGTTGATAAAAGGGCTTGGGACTAGTGCTAGACAGGCTATCTCTAATTAATTTGCGATATTTGTTTTTAAATAAGTGTTGTTTGACATAGTCATTTTGTATGATGATTTGCTATTTTAAAAGAGTGCCGAGAGTTTTTTACGCCGGCTTTTTCTCTCGCCCCCTTTCTTCTTTCCGATGAGTAGGGATGTCTACCGATTGAAATTTAATGACGTGGAATAAGTGATACCTGTATCTTATATTCCATAATAAACATTTTTTATTTTAAGGGCCGTGGCCCTGGTTTTGTTTTTATGAATGCAACAACTTATCGCTTATTAGCGATCTCTTCCAGACGTGCTACGAGTAGCACAGTGAAACATAAAATTGCTTTTACTAGCAAAAACTCTCCAAGTTGTCAGATTGAAAGCTTTGTGAAAGAGATGCCGACTGTCTTATTATTAAAAAAAAAAAAAAAAAAAAAAAAGGGGGAAAAAAGGGGGGGGGGGGGGGGGGGGGGGGGAAAGGGACACCCCCCCCCTAAGCTGTTGGGGGGGGGGGGGGGGAAGGGGGGGAGAAAAAAAAAAAAAAAAAAAAGGGTTTTTTTTTTTTGTGTGGGGGGGGGGGGGGGGGGGGGGGGGGGGGGGGGGGGGGGGGGGGGGGGGGGGGGGGGGGGGGGGGGGGGGGGGGGGGGGGGGGGGGGGGGGGGGGGGGGGGGGGGGGGGGGGGGGGGGGGAAAAAAAAAAAAAAGGAAGAAAAAAAAAAAAAAAAAAAAAGGGGAAAAAAAAAAAAAAAGAGGGGGGGAATAATGGGGGGGGGGGGGGAAAAAAGGTGGGGGGGGGGGGGGGGGGGGGGGGGGGGGGGGGGGGGGGGGGGGGGGGGGGGGGGGGGGGGGGGGGGGGGGGGGAAAGGGGGGGAAAAAGGGGAAAAAGGGAAAAAAGGGGGGGGGGGGGGGGGTGGGGGGAAAAAGAAAAAAAAAAAAATTTGGGGGGGGGGGGGGGGGGAAAAAAAAAAAAAAAAAAAAAAAAAAAAAAAAAAAAGGGGGGAAACAGAAGGGGGTTTGGGAAAAGGGGGGGGGGGGGGGGGAGGGGGGGGGGGTGGGGGAAAGGGGGGGGGGGGGGGGGGGGGGGGGGAAAAAAAAAGGGGGGGGGGAAAAAAAAAAAAAAAAGGGGGAAAAGGGGGGGGTGTGGGGGGGAAAGGGGGGGGGAAATTGTTTGGGAGAGAAAAAAAAAATTAATATTTAAAGAATTAAAAAAAAAAAAAGGAAGAAAAAAAAAAGGGGGGGAAAGGGGGAAGGGGGGGGGGGCCTTTTGGGGGGGGTGTGTGTCCCAGAAGAAATGGGGGGGGGCGGACCAAACTAAAAATGGGGAAGGGGAAAAAGGGAGGACATTTAATGTGTAAATTCACCATTATTGTAAAACAATATACCTTTAAACATATTTTACTTTGGACTTGCTAAGATAATGAATTCGGGTAGGTTCTGGCACTGATTGTTGAATGATGGATGGTCATCGTAAAAGAAACTTCTATACATTTTTTATTCCAGATTCCGAACATTGGCGGAAACGTACAAACGTATGTTTCCCTCACTTGAGGTAGATATTGAGGGTGAACTGATCAAGTACAAGGAGTATGCTGAGAAAATACGACCCCTGGTGAAAGACACTGTGACTTATTTACACAAGGAGATCAGCAGTGGAAGTAAAGTGCTGGTGGAAGGCGCTAATGCCGCTATGTTGGATATTGATTTTGGTATGTCTTTACGAAAAAAATTTTTTAAGAATTCTTCTCCCGTATGCTTCAAGATATTCACAATTGTTCCATGTACCTTGTACGAACACGAATTTTCTGCGATTATGACGATGTTGACATTTTCCACCTTACCTAAAGGAGTGTGTGGAAATATTTTTGGAAGCGAGAGGACTTTGACTTTATTTAGGAGTAGTAAAGATTTAATGTTTAATTTCTGCTTTTTTTAATTTAAAAAAAAAAAAGGAGGGGGGGGGGGGGGGGGGGGGGGGGGGGGGGGGGGGGGGGCGCGGGGGGGGGGGGGGGGGGGGGGGGGGGGGGGGGGGGGGGGGGGGGGGGGGGGGGGGGGGAGGGGAGGGGGGGGGGGGGGGGGGGGGGGGGGGGGGGGGGGGGGGGGGGAGGGAAAAAAAAAAAAAAAAAAAAAAAAAAAAAGGAAAAAAAGGGGGGGGGGGAAAAAAAAAAAAAAAAAAAAAAAACCCCCCCCCCCCCCCCCCCCAGCAAAAGGGGGAGGGGGGGGGGACCAAAAAAAAAAAAAAAAAAAAAAGGAAAAAAAAAAAAAAAAAAAAAAAAAAAAAAAAAAAAAAAAAAAAAAAAAAAAAAAAAAAAAAAAAAAAAAAAAAAAAAAAAAAAAAAAAAAAAAAAAAGGAAAAAGGAAAGAAAAAAAAAAAAAAAAAAAAAAAAAAAAAAAAAAAAAAAGGGCGCCAAAGGGGGAAAACCTCCAAGGGGGAAAAAAAAAAAAGCAACCTTTTTTATCTATTCATGTAGTTTATTATGTTTTCTGTTTCGTGTATTTTGTTTAAAAATTGAAGTTTCCAATTTAGAGTTTTTTATGTTCGAGTATACCATTTAGAACACATGTCAAAGTGACAAATATTTGCGCTGTGCGTCTCTTATTGAAAAAGTGTGTTGCCACATGGCAGTGTCAGCTTAATTTGAGTCACATCTATGTTTCTATCATTATGTCTCAAAAATAGATAACTCAAGAAAAACCGTAAAATATGTTTATAGTAATATTATATAAGTGTGGGGGTCGGTCCGTGAGTTCCAATGCCCTACCCCGATTAATACCTGTAGCTAAAATTCACCATCGTACGTGAAGGCAGAACATATTCCACCCGTATCACTTCGACGTCGTTCCACAATAACGTTTTTTAAGGCAGTTTGCCGCGCACCACCATTACGTGGAACCAGCTGGCTACTAAAGTATTTCCGAACCAATTCGACTTAGGCTCCTTCATGAAAAGAGCGTACCAAGGCCGGCAAAGAGCGGTGGAATCACTTAACATCAGGTGAGCTTCCTGCCCGTTTGCCCAATAAATAAAAAGAAACACTAAAACTCAACAGCCCCTTTGCCATGGACGGGAGGCACAGAATAACGCAAAACTAACTAAGCTCTAACCATATCTTAATAAATTTATAGGTACATACCCCTACGTGACGTCATCGAATTGCAGTATTGGAGGTGTTTGTACGGGCCTAGGCCTTCCGCCTAAACTAATTGGCGAAGTATTGGGAGTTGTGAAAGCATACACAACAAGGGTTGGAGATGGGCCCTTCCCCACAGAGCTGCATGATGTGAGATATTTTTAGTAATTTTACTAGTGGACCCCACCGACGTTGTCCTGCATGATATTTAAAGCGATTAGGATATTAAGCAAAGTATGAAAGTACCGACTGCAGTGCCATCTGCCGGGCTGATTTGTGAATCTAAACCATTCCCAGATCCCCTTGAACACACACAAAAAATTTCATCAAAATCAGTCCAGTCGTTTGAGAGAAGTTCAGTCACATACACACGCACACAAGAAATATATATAATTTTATAACGAACTAGATGACCCCGTGAACTTTGTTTCACCAACATATATTTGTGTCAAAACTTTTAAAACAGACCAAAGAGGTCGGCCCTCATACAGCAGACTACATATTAATACTATGAAACACATATTTTTGAAAGAATCTACAAATATGTAAATGTCAATCAAGTGACAATTTTTAATTTCTAAAAAGACGTCCAATTCCCCATCTAAGAACAGTTTGTATTGGGAAATTTAATTGTCGTTTTTAGAATTTTTCTTTAATTATTATTTACGTTTCCCATCGTTTAAACCTTCCCTGATCTTCCACAAATATTTTGAGATCATAATTAGCCAAATCGATCCAGACGTTCTCGAGTTTTAGCGAGACTTACGAACAGCAATTCATTTTTATATATATAGATATATATTTTAGTGTACCCGAGTACTACACATATTTAACTGTAATAAAAATTACTTAAACGTAAATAGATATGGGCATCAGCGTGTGACTCTCATCCGAGGTCGTAGGTTCGATCCCCGGCCGTGCACCAATGGACTTTCTATCTATGTGCGCATTTAACATTCACTCGAACGGTGAAGAAAAACATCGTGAGGAAACCGACATGTCTTAGACCCAAAAAGTCGACGGTGTGTGTCAGGCACAAAAGGCTGACCTACTTGCCTATTAGATATTTTTTTTTTAACTTAAAGAGGTTATAGCACCATTGATTTAATTATTATCTATATATATAAGATATAGTTGTAAGCTGTAGACATTATTGTGTTTTGGATTATCAGGAAACTGGCAGGTTATTACAAGATCGTGGTCATGAGTACGGTGTGACCACGAAGCGGCTGCGGCGGTGTGGCTGGCTTGACCTCGTCGTGGTCAAATATACCGCCACGGTCAATGGATATACCTCGTAAGATATTATTTACAGACATTATAAAAGTATTTTAATAACAAGTAACAAAGACGTAAAAATGTTAAATTATTTACATAACTGCACACTAAAGGATTTACGAACTAATTCTTAAAAGGCCGGCAACGTACTTGCGAGCCTTCTGGCTGTGTTAGTGTTCATAGGCACTATGTTTTCACATCGGGTGAGCGACCTGCTTGTGTGCCCACTGTTCTGTAAAAAAAGTGTTATTTAGCCGTCGTGATAGTATGATTTTAATTAACAATAAGTTATTATGACTTGGTACAAAAAAATAGATATTTATCAATATCCAACTTATATTACTTACATTTCTGTTATATTAAAGTTACGTATTTTTTAAATAATTTCAAAACAGTTTTTTTTTAATTTTATCAGATTGTGCCTAACGAAACTAGACATACTGGACACGTTGGAGGAAATCAAAGTGGGCGTGGCTTATAAACTTAACGGGAAAAAGCTCGACTACTTCCCGTCATCGATGCCCGAGCTTAGCTCTGTTGAGGTATAATAATTCTTATAATCCAGTCAAAATAGACAAAAATAAGTCATAACTTAGCCAAAATTGCATAGAGCTAAAAATTGGCAGAGACGTTAAATACATCATTATAAATGAAATGTCAAAAATCCCCTTCGATCCTACTTCTGCAAAAAATTTATTCAAGGTCAAAAGTATAAAATTAAGTTTTTTCCATTTTTCTCGAAAACAGTTATATTATCTGAAAATAGATCTGACAAAAGTTGTAGATCATACAATTTTCTACAAAAATGGTTCAGTCACTTTTTCTCTTACGACTCACCATTCATGAGATATCGGTTTTCATCATTAGAAAATTCATATTTTAATAATATGCACTAAAATGCAGTCTGTATAGTCACCGGACGTTCAATATAAATGAAAATAAGAAACTATTCGTTTGTGTTCCTTACACAATAAAACTTGTATAAATTAGAATTTTAAAATATAAGACTATACTGTCAGTCCCTAATTCCTATATACTATTTTTGAGTGTGGAGGGTGATGCTGCCTATTTTTGAAGGAAGTAAATGAAATACTCATATATACTTTAGTTTTGAAAATTGCAGTGAGCAGACGTGCTTATTGGTAATATTTTCAATTTTAATTTGTGCTGTTAAATAATTTAAACAAAATTCAGAAGTTTGTTTTATTTGTGATAAACCTTTGAAAGAAAGTGAAGTGTTGTTGTTGATTGAATGAAGACTTTGATTGATGCAAGTTTTGAAAGAAATGATAATTTTTTGAATACTTAAAAGACAAGCAATTGTGACAGTCCATGAGTGTCGTAAAATGTATACTGAAAGAGTAGTATTGTTGCAGCTAAAAGACAGGGAGACAGAAGAAGGTAGTAATCCAGATAATCCACCTATACTAGAGCACGAGTAAGTGAGCCAGATTTCAACTTTAAAAAATGTTGTTTATTATGCGGCGATAAGCAAATGAAGAAGCTGAAAAGAAGAAAGCGCAGAATTTCGTCGTAAAATTTATAAGTATCTACATTGAATTTAAAGATTCCATTTTAAAGGTAGCTGGACTCGTTCTGATGACGTAGCAAAAGCTGTTATTGCCCGCATTGGTATGAATTTGACTTAGTTGCTGCTGAAGCTAAGTACCACAATAATTGTTATAATATCTTTTGAGACCTACCACGGGATATAAAGTCGTGTCCCGAAGATATTCAGTAAACTTGGGATGGAGAAATATTTCAGTACATTGAAAATAATGATATTGCCAATTTTCATTAAAAATTGAAAGATATTGGCAAAAATCCAACTATAGATAATAAAACAATTAAAAGAATATTAAACTTAAAGTATGGTGATAAAATTATTATAACTGAGAAGAAAGGAAGCTTAACAATTATCTGTTTTATTGATAATCAGTACGATATTCTTAATAAAGCTTGGTATGAAAATAAAAAACAAAATACAAACGAAGAACATTCAAATATTGAAAGCTGCTGCACAATTATTGAGAGAATATTCAATCTGTATATTGATAATGATAATTATCCCCGCCGAGTCAAATGTTTGAAAATATTAACAGCGATATTCGGAGTCCTTGACTTAAAAAAATGCGCCAAGTAATTACCTCATAGGTGGTGCGGAAATGTGTGCATATGTGTGTGTAGAATATAATTTTCTAATATTAAAACCGGATATCTCATGAATGGTGAGTCGTAAGAGAAAAAGTGACTGAACCATTTTTGTAGAGAATTTAGATCTACAACTTTTGTCTGATCTATTTTAATAATACTAACTTTTTGAGAAAAATGGAAAAAACCTTAATTTTATACTTTTGACCTTGAATAATTTTTTTGCAGAAGTAGGATCGAAGGATTTTGAATTTATTTATAATGATGTATTAAGTCTTGCCAATTTTAGCTCTATGGAATTTTGTAAGTCAATCTATTTTGACTGGACTATTAGTATTCTATAATATTATAATTTATTTTTATTTTTGCTATGAAAATACTTTTTTAAGCATGTAAAGTTTCTAGTCTAAGATTTGCTCGAATAGTGATGACGTTTTATCTTGCTTACAAAGTGGAAAAATACTTAAAGTATATTGTATCTAAAACATGACATTCATATTGGCTTGTCACATCTACGCAAATAATTTAGTACTTATTCTATGACGTCAAAGCAGTTAGTGTAATTATTAATATCTTTCTTGAATTATGATTCGTATGAGGCAATACTCTATCTCTCTATTATTAAATAATATTATTGAAGTTATACTTCTTTAGGCGCGTTATGAAAAATTTATGAGAGTGAAATTTTACAATGCGCGCGCACCCGTGACACAAAATTAGGAGTGTGATTATAGCGTGCGCGAGCGAGATAGGAATAAGACAATCTACAAGTAAAAAGAAATAGAATATGCGTGAAGTTCGTATGCCAACAATTTTGAATGACCATAATGACATTTGTCATTTACCTTTTAAACAAATAAAGGAGTTTTAATTATTTTTTCAAAGAAATTTAGCGATGCTTTTTGAATTATAATCAGAAGTGATTTAAATTGAATATTTAAACCAATACTAATTAATATTTGTGAAAAAACTGTGCTCATCAACCTTCCTAAGTGCTTCAATACAATTGAGGTTAACTATCCGTATGTATGTATTATTTATTATTATCGAGTAATATTTTGATTAAAAAATTAACCACATTGTTTAATCAAAACATGTAATTTTTCTGATTTTATCTAGCAAATATAAGGAAAAGAGACAAAAAACAATTGATGAATCAGTGTAACTGCACTAAATTGAATACAAAAAAAGAGTTTTCATCTTATCGCTGTGAAACATCAAAAACTGGAGGTGGAACAAAGCCAAACTATTTTTAATAATGCCAAAGAAGTATAACTTCTTACGCGCGTACATACAAGCAGTACAAGGACACGGTCCTTTTTTTTTAATATATATAAATATATTATATATTAAGTAGCGGTTATAATACAGCATTCTAATGGTGAAATAATTTTTGAAATCGGTCCAGTTTTTTAGTTTGTTGCAAACATAAATAAAGTAAAAATCTTTCTTCTTTTTCTCCTTTATTCAAAACCAACACAACGGTAACCAAATTTGTCAGAGACAATAAAATAATTTTTAATTTCTTTTTGCTCAATTAAAGTAAAATATTTTTAAGGTGGAGTACATAACAGTACCGGGCTGGAAATGCAGCACAGCGGCGATACGGGAGCTCAAACATTTGCCGGCGCAAGCGCATCACTACGTCAATATAATACAGGAATACTTACAGATACCTGGTATGTGCCTACATTTTATTGAGAAATTTAACTCTGATTTCATCTTAATAATATTTATTGTAAGAAAGCAAGATTACATAAAGAGAGTAATATATATTATTATATTCAAATATTGCTTTTGACCGGTTAGTCCATGGTATGCAGCGACACATCTGACTCTGTTTCACAGATTATTAACTTCAGAAAAGGAGATTTACAGTTTGACTTATAATTTTTCTTTAAGCAAGTAAATGTTGCCTTATGCCAATTATCGAACCTTCGCATAAAATTTGTGTAGTAGCCTGTAATTATTGTAATAAATGTGTTTTTTGCAGTAAAATTCATTGGAGTGGGTCAAGGCAGGGAGTCCGTTATTAACGTCGCGTAAATCCATACTTTACGTCCTCATACGTAAGCGTACGTACGCGTACGTTGTATCTGTTTTGATAACTCTCAAATACAGGAATTTATTAAAAAAGTGTTAGCATCCCGTTTTATGACGTTGAAACGTTATTTTAACAGATGCAGCGTCGGTTTTTAGCTAAATATACATTTGTGGACGCAGCGATTAAATCGATTTTTTGAGGTTTTAACAAGCAATCATTGATTTTATCTGTATTTTTTTTTAGAACATGACTCGAATTTTTAACGGTTATTGACATCGCTGCGTTTAGATTTTTATCAAATTAAGGGCTTCTAGAATTGTACTTTGGTAGTTGAAAAATCACATTAAATATAATAGAAAATATATTTATTGCAAATGAAAATAAATGATTGTCCCATACCGCATAGAAGAGGACTTATAAATGGGATTTTTAACAACGTCCAAGACATAGATTATCGTTAAATAAGATCATTAAGTAATTTAGACAGTATTTCTATTTTATTTCTAACTTATGGCCACGAATGCCTAACCATAAGTACGATTTAAGGTTTAGGCCCTGCACACACAAACGGCATACGTCAAAAATATATCATTTTAAAGTTTCACTACTTGATAAGCTAAGATTCATAGACAAGTGTAAACTATTGGATTCTTACAGTATTTAGAAAATGGGGTTTTGTCGTGTACATTGATTGCGCTAACATTTTGTTATTATTATTATTGTCCCATGAGTGGAATTTGGCAAAAAAATACGTAAGAAATCAATATGGTCGAAAACCTACAGCCTGGCCGCAAAGCGCTTGTCACTAAATAATTAGCAAATTCAGGCATTACGCATGTATTTATTTTATATAAAAAAACACGTTAGTCTACATGCAAAGCATTTTCGATGCGATTCTTGAGGGTATATGTAACTGATTTGGCCGTAAACGCAACTGTACTTAACACGCAAACTAAAATATATTTTGGAAATATCTCGTTGAAATTTTTTGAAGGTTTAATAATTCGAAAACTTTTATCTTTTTATGACAATTTTCTACACATGGTGCTTAATCAATACTTACTTGATCGTCATTCTTTATTGTTTGAAGAACATAGTTAATATCACTAATTTTTCGTATTGAGACCAGATTATAGACTAGCTGAGTTTCGGTATAAGCTACGAGCTTATTTCGTACGGTGGACTTAGATTTCTTTCTACGCAAAACAGTATATGTGTAATAAAGGTTCCTAAATTGTTAATCAATGGACTTTGTAGGCTTCAATATATTTCATAAATTTTATAACAATTCCTTGTTTATAGAAACCGAAAAAACTGGGTTAATCTTGAAGTGGTTCTTAATTGAGTACTTAAACATTGATAATAATAAATTAAGCAGTACTTTACACTGTAATTGAACCACAGATTAGTTTAAGAGATAACGTCTAAAAATCTGTATGTTTATAATATATACGAGTTACAATATATATTGTACCAGGTCACACATAATTCGTATTAAAATAACTAAAGGGATCGCTATATTAAAAAATGTTTTGAGGGTAGAATTAAAATCTTAATTATTTCTTGTTTTATATAGCTGTATTTGAGCACAAATTTTGTTTGTGCCTCGTTCATGTTTCATATAATTTTTCCCATTCCAAAGAATTGTATTTTTTTATGAATCATCGTTTTCTCTTTTACATTCTTTCTATGTGTGTTTTATGTGATATCTATTTTAATTGTAAATATTTCATTACAGTTACTATTCGAATAAATCATGGTTTATTCTTTTACTGTGTTGTTTTTTATACCTGGACGGATACTGGGTCAACGGGATGCTTTAAATAATAGAGGATATAATTTTTACCCTTTGTTTACTCCCCTACAACAACAAAAAAGCTAGATCAATGTAGAATGCTATGCTTATAATGAAAATGCTATAGATTTAAATGCTTAAGCCTAATGCCTGCGTACTGTCTGGGCGTTATTCCGACGATTTAGGTAATCGCCACGCTTATAAAACTACGAAAGTACAGCCTTGGCTCGTACCAATACCTTAATCCTTGTTGCTATGAATCGTCCGGACTCTGCAGTGAAGCAGAAATTCTGTTCTCATGTCACTAATAATGGGTGGCGCAAAAGTAATGGCACTAAAGAAAATTTGTTTATTTTTTTTATATGACGATAGTTTTCATTCTGTTGTTGAAAATTGTGTAGTGAACAAATGTAAAATACACTGAAAATAAACATGGACCGATTTACTCCACAAGAACGTGGAATAATCGTGTCAATGTTCTTACGGAATAATTAATCAGTGATAAAAACACAACGTGAATTTCGTCGACGATTTCCTGCAAGATCACCCGATCTGACGAGACCAGACTTCTTTCTTTGGGGTTTTTTGAAATCTCGGATGTATGTGAACAAGCCACAGACTCTCGCAGCTCTAAAAGAAAACATTCATCAAGAAATAAGGAACATACCGCAGGAAGTATTACGGCAAGTTATGCAAAATGTCATAAATAGGGCTCAAATGTGTATCAACTCTGGAGGTCACCATTTAAAAGACATCATCTTTAAATCCTAATGGTACGAAATTTAATGGCACAAATATACATTTAAAAAAACCTAAATCTAGTTTTCTAATTTAGAAAAAAATGTTATAGCTGAACCAAATAAGGTCTTTACTTTTGCGCCACCCAGTATTATGACAAGCGGTGCAAGGGCCGGCAGATAAACTATTACTTTATTGGGAATCGATTCAACCACATTGGCGGTAAAATATAATAATAGTTTTCTTTATTTAGTGTACAAAAACAGGGAGTATAAAAATCCAGATATTTATTCACCTTTAATTACATAGGAGTTACACAAATATACTTTGAGCAGATTACATTATATACGCAAAATCTACGAATAACATTACAATAGAAGGAATTTCACGTTTGACTTCAATGGTACAATCTCCAAAAGGATCAGCTATCAGATAGTATTTAAAAATGCCATTCAAACGCGATAAATTGTCTTGACCTTCTTGCTCTTATAAACGTGGACAGTAGCGGGTTTTCACGTAATGCGGTAACCATGGTAACCAAACATACAATATTTAGTCCACTCTTTATAGTAAAGCCTTATAAATAGCTTCGTCAATGTTAACTAAACGCCACTATAGTCAAGATTTAAAGTTGAAACTGCGCGAAGTAACCCCAAAGTAAAATTTAATACATTTTTTACTAACGAAAGTCATACTTAGTGCTAATAGCGATTACATTTCTATATATAGTTGTCTTTTGTTATAAAGCCAATACATATTAAATTATCTATAGTATTGTTATTTGTAGGGCAGAATGAAATATGCCAGAAACTCGAGTAGGAGAGGTTCCTGGAATGCATAATTTTGTCATACATCACGCATTATACACAAATATACTATAGGTAGTACTCCATAATAGTAATCTTCTTGGTAATGGTTTCAATGTTCTATGTTTCTCGTAACGAGATATAATAATAAATATACACACATTTACTCCAAAATAGTTACGTTCATTTAACAATTTAAATACGATTGTAACCTATTCCTACAGTTTTATAATAGAGTAAACTAATATATTATATGTGTAACTATCTATCGACGCCATATAATACAAAGAATAGATTTTTTTATATACAATGGATAAGTCTCTACACGGATTTTAATACTTTAATATAAAACTATAATTAGAGAGGTTTTAAAAACAAAGCAGTTAAAATCAAAAAATGCGTAGAGAAATCGGTCTGATCGTGGACAGCACATTCTATATCAACTGCGCAATATAGCTATTATCAATACAGGGTGATATCAATTTAAACATTTTCTCATCTAAAAGACGGGATGTCTTTGTGAATATTGTATAAATAGTTACGTATTTTTTCTTATAATTACACTATAAGATACATTTTTATAGACACATATCTATCACACCTAGAAGAATACAAATAATCTCTAATCTAAATAATCAGTCAAATTATATAGGATTTAAATCTTACAGCAAAGGAATAGACAACATTATCACTTAAAATATCTTCTGTTCCTAAATCTTTAATAAGCTGAAATTTTATCCACTGATTAATTTATCAAAAAATACTACCTATTAGATATTCAATAATATACTTTTAGAGATATCCTTTTTTTAAATTATTAATTTACATTTTTTTATTTTGTTAATATTTTGATTTAATTTGTGACATTGGAAAGGGTAGAAATATAAAAAAATTATATTGAATCTTAGAACCTGTCAAAATATAGCTATGAAAAAGTTGCTAAGCTCAAGTCAAGAGCACTGTCAAAATTAATTTGTCAGTTTGAAAGTATGTCAAGCAGACCTAGGATAAATCGAATAATTGCAGCTAGAATAAATTGGTTCCTTTAAAATCTTGAAACGGCTTGATGGGGAAGCCATAGATTTCACCAATGTCCCATAGTCAAAGGAGAATCATGAGAGTCAGAAACAAGAAATATACACATCAAACAAATTATCAGACAATGATTTATGAAAGATATATTTTTCATTTTGACTATCTTAGTAGTTTACCACTAAAAATGTATTATTATTAACTATTGTAATTATTAAATTTTCAGAAAAATTTGGCTTTTAGGACTACAAACCGTAGCAATGACTTCTACTTCTAAAGTATGTATAAACGAAATTCTAAAAATGATAATTTAGTTTAATATCAAACTGTCCCAATTGTCAAGTCTTATACTGAGCTCAGGACCTATTGCAAAATTAAGAATAAGAATTTTTCATGATTTTCAAATGTATATCAGTATTGCATAATCTAAAGCATGTTGACGGTCAATCAATACATTATACAATAAACTTAATCCCTGCCACTAGGCGATAAATTTCGCTTTCTCTTACTCTTATTCTTCAAGGCGCGATGCCTATCTCGCTTCCTGCTGGAAGAGGAACAGGAAGATGAAGGACTAGAATCTGGAGGTGATCCTGCATCATCAGCTGTCAGTAATGGTTGAGATTCTGGAGTGGATGGTTCCAAAACACTATTTCTAAGAGCTCTCCTCTGTTCTTCAGTGTGTTGTGGGCAGCGAGTTGATCTGAGGAATGTTATGATATATTACTTGGTGTTTTTAATAGAAAGATCCATATACAGACCTTACAATTTGTATACAAAGTAAATGAACATGGGTATATTATAAACCTTGATTTTTTGGCCGTCTTTATAATGGTCTTTACATAACATCAACTACTCCATGGATTACATGCCTGATTTTCCATACACTTGTTATCTTAACAGCACTGTATTGGTTGTTGCGATTTGCTTTAATGGAAAACTAATTAACCGTGATAATCACCTTGAAAAGCTAAGTAAAATTTTTACAGCTTTGTTATAAAATGTGGACTAAATATAGGACCATGCTACCACAGTTACCATTTATATATAAAGCTTTACTCCTACTACTACACAACTATTAGTATATTGAAGTCTTACCTAATACACAGTTTCTTTGTGTGTTCAGAAACAACACCACATATCTGTTGCAGCAAGTTTTTCTTTTCATTTGCACTCATTGTCTCATAGGTGGCACCATCATTTGAATCCGAATTGTGATTTCCATTATTATTCCTGTTACCACTGAAATAATATTAATACATTTTGATAATATTATGTATTTTAGCATCCTCTAATGGTAAGTTTCTCAACCACTTATTTTAATTTTGCACTTAGCCTTGGGTTATATACATAAAAATATGATATTGTTGTTTAATATTTAAATTTGTATCACATTTCATTTTGTTTTAGGTTTATAAAAACTGAAATGTAAATGTACAAAAGATATTCTTATGTTGTTATAAACAAGTTTTAGAAAACAAAATAACATACTTATGCATTTTGTTAGACTTCCGGTTGTTGTTACTTCTGATTCTGCGTTTTCGGCGTTCACTTTGCATGGAGCTTCCTGACCAATCAGCATCATCCTCATCATCACTTAAGAGTCCAGCATATGAGGTTGGTTCACGACTATTTGATGCAATACGTCTTGATGCTATTCGAGAACTGTTCCTTCCCATTCCTATAGATTTGAGTATGGTATTTATTCATCTTGATACAGAACTTTATATGTGAATTGCTAATAAAGTATAACATCAAGATTGATAGAATTTATTGATTTTAAATGTTCAGAACATAGTGGATATTCAGCAAGTACATATTTGAAGAATTTCATATGGAATAATTTAAGCCACATACCCATGCATTTCTCTAGGTGCGGTGCAAAACGAGTAGCAGATACTGGCCGCTCACAATTAGGACAAGAACAGTTAGAATCTGGAGTTTTCTTTAATACAGAAAAACCAAAAACATCACATTCGGGTGAGACAACAATTTTACAGCTTTCATCTTCTTCCTTTTCCCCTTCTATCAAATCCGTAAGTCCAGTCTTTAAACCATGATGGAATTCGAAAAGGAACCCTAATGCGACATCTTCATAAACACTATCGTAAATAAAATTCGCCGCATCTTCTGCGTTGCTTTCATTTTGCATGATCTCGAAGAACTTGTTATTTAGATCGTGCATGCTAAGCTCACTTACGATCGTCGTCATGTTTAAGGACAATTGTGCAAACTAGTTTTGAGAAGATATTTAAGTAAAACGATATAAATTAGCCTTTCTGCAACTACCAATTGTTTTACATAGTATTACTTAGATAAAGGCTTGCAAACAAGTAAACTGTAAAGCAAAAAAAGTCCGGATACTGAAGTGAGAGCAGTCAACACTCAACAGTCAGATAGGCCACAGGCCACAGCCCACAGCTGACTTCTAATTAGTTTTACCCACCCTCCCGGCCAGGCCATCCCCTCTGCGAGGGCTTTGATCTCGGGCGTGCCTTCGATTCAGATTACCTAATAAGTAATCACCTAATAAATAAAATTAGATAAAGTTTAACAAAAGGCTTTTATTATCATAGACATGAATACAAATATTTCATTTTACCTTATTACTAACGAAGGTTATTATAGAATTTCATTAATTGTAATAGAATTATTACTATCATTAATAAGTATATAAAATTATATTTGAATTGTTAAATTAGAATTAGAACACACATTTCAAGAAATAAAAAACATTAAGCTCTGCTTACGAAATAATTGTTACAAATACAGCGAGCATATTTTTTAGATTTTAGAATATTCCCGGTTTTGCAGTTTTTTGATTTATTGTAAATTGTCTAATAAATTCAAAATTTTTAATGACAATTGTCAATTTGTTTGTTGATGATTTTCGTTTTGTTGAAATATGACATTAAATAAGACTAAACCCCTATCCACACTCTACACGCGGCGACACGAGCGCCATAATGTAGGCGCCAGGCGGTGCGCAAGTTTCACCTCGTGTGGCTGTGGCCTTCGCCTCGCCTTGCTGCCACTCCCGCGCTTCTTGTCGATTTTTGGGGCGAGAGTCAAAGGACACGAGGAGGCGAGGCGAGAGTATAAAAAAACACTTCTCTCACGCTCACTCACGGATCACTTCGTTGAAAACTACTTCACTGTATGGACGCGCGCTGAGTGGAGTAACGAGTTGTGTATGGCTTTTATAAACTTTTATCAAATGGAACCAATCATTTAGAATCCAAAAGTGGGATCGAATAAGCAAAGAATTAAATACAGAAGTTAAAAAACAAAAAAAATACATCATTAATTTTAAGCGACTTTCAGAGAACGTTACGTGTCCTAAATATAGACAAATTAAATCATATTTATACCGCCATGATACTATATTTATATTTGTGATATATACGCAAGGCATTATAATATTGGTAGGCACATAAAGTAGCTTACTCAGTCACTCCAATCATGTTCATCTTGTAGTAAATGTAGATGTAAATGGAAAGTGTGGATGGCTCCACTCGTGACACACAGACAATATTTTATTTTAAAAACAAGTGTAAGAAATTGTTTCCCAAAAATTCATTAAAAATACTAGCGGCCAAATTTTGATAGTCCTCCTAATTATAAATTTACAATGGTTTTTAGCAAATAACCGATGAACGCACTAATCCTGCAGCCGGATATTAGACTATAACTAATGTAAAAAATAAATTGTGCGTGTACTAGGTGTACACACGTAAGAAGTGAAACTTCTTTATGATCTTATTTTTCGAAAAATTATTTACTAAATGCAACTTTACAGAAATTCGTTAAATTAGATAAAGTTTAACAAAAGGCTTTTATTATCATAGACATGAATACAAATATTTCATTTTACCTTATTACTACGAAGGTTATTATAGAATTTCATTAATTGTAATAGAATTATTACTATCATTAAAAACCTGACGATTTGCTACAAAATTTCTCCCATACGTCGATAAAGAAGTTTCATTCCAACGCCGATAAAGAAGTTTGACTTCAAAAAGCAACATGGCGAGTAACCGAAAAACGTGACGATTTGCTACAAAATTTCTCCCATACGTCGATAAAGAAGTTTCACTTCCAAAAGTTTTTGAAGTGAAACTTCTTTATCGAGGTTGGAAAAAAATTTAGTGTAACATTTTTTCGTTACGCGTCACATTTTTCGGTTACTCGCCATGTTGCTTTTTGAAGTCGAAGTCTTCTTTATCGGCGTTGGAAAAGAAAAAAAGGGTGCGAGTACTTATGTACGCGCGTAAGAAGTTATACTTCTTTGGCTTTCTTTATTTTTTTTAAATATTAAATAATAAATATTTAACCTTAATAATTTAATAATATTTAATATTTAGTATATTATTCAATTATTAATTCAATTTAATAACTAGGTATGTTTCATAACCTTTTAACTAAGTAACAATAGGTCTGTGAAAAAGCATTGCTAAATTTCTTTGAAAAAATAATTAAAACTCCTTTATTTGTTTAAAAGGTAGGTACTACCAATGTCATTATGGTCATTCAAAATTCTTGGCAAAGCTGCTTACGTCACGCATATTCTATTTCTTTTGACTTGTAGATATCGCTTCTCGGCCTTTTGGCTAAGATCAAAGTGTAGTGTGACTTGTAGATTGTCTTATTCCCATCTCGCTCGCGCACGCTATAATCACACTAGGGATGTGACATTCTGCATAAAAAAAAAATCGATTTTTTATTAATCGATTATTTTTGTAGCATGAATAATCGATTAATAAATAATCGATTTTTCTTAAAAAAATAATCGATTTTTTTTATTAATCGATTTTTTCCTAATTTTTGAATTAATTTCAAAATAAACACCCTAAATATTTTAATTTCATAGTTTTTTAAATTAAAAATAAACAATAGAAATTATAAACACAAATTAACGTTTAAGAATAATCACAATCGAAATTAACTTAATCTCGTTTTGATAGATTTTGATAACTGCTGAGTGTATTCCTTTTCAGTAGCACATTGCAGTATTTTTGTTGTCTTTTTAATTGTATGTAGTCTTGTGCTGCTGAATAAATTTATTTTACTTTTAAATTATAGTGTTCCATTCAAACTTGAGTTTTTGTAAAATTAACTGCTTTTATCATTTAAAGAAAAAACTGTTTGACCGGATTGAAGTATGTATTATTATAAATTTACAACTATTTAACATAATTTTAAATTTATCCGACGTTTCGCGTGCTTTACAGCGTGCGTGGTGGTCAATTTAAAATTATGTTAAATATAGTCATAACCGGTTATAACGACATTGAAGGGACCGTATAGTTGCCGACGTTATATCCGATAGTCGTTATAAGCAATGTCATATACTCAAGTACAGTACATATGTATGTACATAGTTATCGATCTAGAATAGGTAGGTATGGGTTATAATATGGTATGTTAATATTATAATATGTAAACGAGTCAAAAAAGAAACAAAAATATTTATTACGAAATAATTAGGTACAAAAGTAATCAGTCACTCTGTTTTTTTTTTTTAGCCCAGTCTCAAATATTTTTTGCATTTTACGTTTCATACTCCTCAAGGTATGAGTTCAAACTGTTCGTTGAAGGCAACAAATTTTTACTAAATCGTTACAGCGTTAAGAGCCTCGGAAATCGTTGTTGGCTGAAACTGTTCGTTGGGAGAAAGTGCGAAGGTAATAATATGCCTAAATATTCATTCAATGCTTATAAATAAAATTTAAAATCGTTTGTATTGTTTTGTTTTGCTGAGACAAGAAGCGGTTGGTCGTTATAGCCGATGAATATCGATAAACTTTCGTCGTTGTAAGCGATATGTCGCTGTATCCGATGTTGTTATAAGCGGTTTCTTTACTGAATAGTTTACTAGGGATTCGGACGGGACCATACAATCTGGTTGTAATAACCGATAGGTCGTTGTAAATGATGTCGTTATAAACGGTTTTGACTGTAGTTGTAAATTTATAATAATACATAACTACAATCCGGTCAAACAGTTTTTCTTTAAATGTGTAAAGGTTATGTAAATCAAAGACTATACTATGCTTTTATCATCCTTTTAATGTTTTACAAAAAAATCAATGTATCGAGTATATCAATACATCTTCAAATAATCGGATTCAATGTATCGCATTGTAAACATCGTTGTGTATCGAATATCTCTAATAGTTCGAGGTCCGGGTTATAAAAGACCAGACATAATGTCGGGAGGTGGCAGATAAAAAATCGATTATGACTGATTTTCAATTATAAAAATCATCGATTATTAATCGATTATTTTAAATATAAAAATCGCGTAAAAAAACGATTTTTACTTTTAAAAAAATCGATTAAAATCTATTTTTTTAATAATCGATTATTTTTTCACATCCCTAAATCACTTTGTGTCTCAGGTGCGCGCGCATCGTAAAATTTCACTCTCATCAATTTTTCATAACGCGCCTACGGCCTAATGAAGTATAACTTCAAAAATGTACCGTCACATTTTTTATTATTTATTATTCTACACTTAATATTTTAATGACAATTAAATTCATTAAATTCCTAACATATCCATCCTTTTTCCGTCCCTCTAAGTATCGGAAATCTAAACTTTTAGATTTATATAAAATGTATGAACAACACTTAAAGATTAGTTTGCCACAAATGGTCTAAGATCCCGCTGCAGGATTGGTGCGCTCATCGACTATTTGTTTAAAACCAAATTTTTATGTTTATTTATAATTAAGAGAATATATATTTACTAGGGTGCCTATCAAAATTTGGCCGCCATTATTTTTAATTAAATTATTTTTAATTGATTTTTTGGTAAAAAATTGCGTTCATTTATTATTTAAATAAAATAACGTCTACATCACGGTAATTAATATGAAGATTCTAAAAAATCACGGGTGCCGTTGCGCACATGGCCGCACCTCTTTGCAGCCAGGTGTAAACAGGTATGATTTCGATAAATTTATACGTTTATAACCTATTTTTATTAATTATATGTCAAATTGAAGCTAATTTTTTCTATTAATTATCATATAAAGTTGCTTAATTAAATCTGGCCGCAAATAAGGGCTACTGGCTGTTAAAGATAATAAATATTTAAGGTAGAGTGAAAGAGAGTTAGCGCGTAACATCATTTGTCAGACGAGGACAGCGATTGTCGGCTGTGCGACGCTTTTAAGCCATTGCGCATGCGTCGAACGTTAGTGTTCTCAACCACCGGGGAGTAATAGAGACGACTTATAATAAATACTCCAAAAAATATGTAATTTTTTCCAAAATGACAAATTTAAAAATTGCAACAAAAAATTAATATTGATTTGATATATCGACGGTCTAGTTAGCAATTTGTCTAACTCCTTATTTTTTACAGGGTGATTTTTTTAACACTTTGATGAAGACATAATCCAATTACAAATTATTTGAATGATTCAAACTTAAAAATTATATCTCTATTAGATATTAATGATATTAAATGGTTTTTTAAAATGATAATAAATTTTGAAGTCATTGTTTTTTTCGTACAAATAAAAGATTCTCTAAAATGGAGTTAGATAATTTGCTAATTAGAACGTCGATATTTAATATTAATTTAAAAAATAAAACCAAGGTGACTTAAGTAAAAGAAAATTTTATTGCGAAAGTATTCTTTAAAAATTTTATTAGATTTTATTCAAGTAATTGATTGTCTATTACATATTAATTAAACATTTAAGCAAATTAAAAAATTAAAAAAATTAATCTTATAACTCTTATATTTCCGTAACTCTTATTTAAAAATCTGAATCATCGGAGCTTTCTGTTGTACTATCATCGGAGCTATCACTTTCATCGCTACAAATATCAGAATCGTCGTTATCGGTAGCTTTGTTCATGGATTCACATAGCACACTATTAACTTGCGTTGGAGATGAGTCTCCCAGGAACCATGTTGGTTTTAAAAAACCATCTAGTACCAGCCAGCCATTCTGGGCTGAATTTGTTGCAATTTTTAAATTTGTCATTTTGAAAAAAAATTACATATTTTTTGGAGTATTTATTATAAGTCGTCTCTATTACTCCCCGGTGGCTGAGAACACTAACGTTCGACGCATGCGCAATGGCTTAAAAGCGTCGCACAGCCGACAATCGCTGTCCTCGTCTGACAAATGATGTTACGCGCTAACTCTCTTTCACTCTACCTTAAATATTTATTATCTTTAACAGCCAGTAGCCCTTATTTGCGGCCAGATTTAATTAAGCAACTTTATATGATAATTAATAGAAAAAAATTTGCTTCAATTTGACATATAATTAATAAAAATAGGTTATAAACGTATAAATTTATCGAAATCATACCTGTTTACACCTGGCTGCAAAGAGGTGCGGCCATGTGCGCAACGGCACCCGTGATTTTTTAGAATCTTCATATTAATTACCGTGATGTAGACGTTATTTTATTTAAATAATAAATGAACGCAATTTTTTACCAAAAATCAATTAAAAATAATTTAATTAAAAATAATGGCGGCCAAATTTTGATAGGCACCCTAGTAAATATATATTCTCTTAATTATAAATAAACATAAAAATTTGGTTTTAAACAAATAGTCGATGAGCGCACCAATCCTGCAGCGGGATCTCGTACTATAAAGTTTCACTTCTGACATGTGTACTTTGTACACACACATTTTTTCCTATTTTTCAAGGGACTTCAGGTTTTTCTTTAAACAACAACAACAGTAGGACTGTGTACAAAATAATGAAGTTGTGAAGTGAAAATCTCAAAATCGTTATGCTGTTTCTTGTCTACCGCCCGATTCATTTACTTATTTTACAAAAGTTTAGTGTATGAATTAATGTAAATAGTTCTTGCTGAAAAGCGAGCTACTGTAAAAAAAGCTAATTGTGCTGTATAATCATCAACTACGAAGAGTGCAAAATTGACGCTTTTGTGTTGTGACTTGTGATATCAACATTAACGAGATAGAGACTTACTGTGCTATATTGACGCTTTTGTGTTGTACTTTGCCAAAACATGGTAGGGAAAGGAAGTGTAAAATGCTCAAAATGTGGCATAATATCAAAAGAAGATGGTAACTTAACCTTCCATAGGTTTCCTCTTCCGTCCAAGCATGGGTCTCTGAAGTAAGTAGATCAAACATTTACTGTAGATACACATCCTCCTGATTTTACCAGTTCTCACGTTTTGCACAATTCCTACCTAAATTATGGAAAAAGTGTACCTTCTTAATATTATTTTGAAGAATTCTTAGAACTATGTATTTTAATTTAAAGTAAAACAGCTTCATACTTTATACTTGTGTACAATGAAAACCTTATTTTTTAGGGCTAAAGTTTGGGCTAAATTTTGTTTTCCTGATGGTGATTGGACATCCAATGAATCATTAGAAATGTTGTACGCACAGCATAGGATGCTATGTGGCAATCATTTTGATGATTCTTCATTTACCAGCAGCAACAGGAAAAGACTTAACAAGTTTGCTATTCCATCTGAAGCTCAAAGTATACTTTCCCAATTAAGAGACAAACAGTGTAGTCCATCAAAAGCAAGTCATGACCTCCAAGTGAGTATTTACATAGTTTACTTTATAAACATAATATTGCTGTATATAATAAATAATTTAATTGTTGATAAGAATATACAAAAAGGTCTTTTTTGTTTTTAATTATTGTAGTTTAATAAAATTGTTACCCATGTACATTGTTTTATTTCTCTACATGGAATTACTCCTTAAAATTCTGTACTTGCATACCATTTTAAATTCTCCCACCATACGATAGTACCTGATGGCATTAGCTTTTTTTTACATTGAAGTTGTTGTTCTTCTTCGCTATGAGTAATAGTTTTCTGTGGACTGGAGCCGGCTTTACATAATGCAGGGGAAAATTTCTTAATTATTTTGTTCTACGTTTTATTATATAGATTTAAGAAATTATATAAATAGATAAATACAATTATTTTAATAAATGTATTATTTGATAATGTAAGACTTGCGGTTTCACAGTTGTTTATTTATGAACAAACAAAGCTATTCCGACCGCTAGATTTTAACATGTATGATGGCAATTTTAAGTTATGACTATGTTGTAGTATCAATATTTCACAGCACACAGTTAAAGAAGCAAATAAAACGTAAATACTCTATATTTGTATGTTTTTAAATAAGTAAAACTATACATACTTTGATTTTAGGTTAGTGTCTTCTAAATTCTAAATACATATTCAATTGATTACTGTTTTAGATAAAATTTATTCATTACGCTATAAATTATCTTGACTACTTCTGTTTGTCATGTACCTATTTGTTTTATTTATTTAGTATCAGAGTTGATGAACTTATCACACTGCCAGATAACATTAATTATTATTTTAGTAGAATACAGCTATCAGTACAGTGCAGTGCAATAGGAAAATATACCTAAACCAGTTTTTTCTACTCTTAAAAATGGTAAATATTTTTTTAAATACTCATTATATTTACCAAATTAATTCTTTACTTTTTTAAATTAAAACTTGCTCAAGTTACTAAAATCTTTTCATTGTATTTTCACTATATTTTTTTTTTTGGGATTTTATGACCTGGCATTCACTATATTTATATAATAATAGATAGATAAAATAAATAAATATTCTAAATTCGTATCATACCTACATATTTTGACAATAAAAGACAATCGTTATTTCCGTAGAATCCGTAGACACTTCTGTTGCTCTACGAATTTATTAGGTGACTCATTTGAAGAAATCGTAGCTACATTTGAGTCCATCGGATTTAATATATTACAGTAGTAATTAAAGAAACAGTTGTACTTAAAGTGCAGAAAGTTTACAATATTAATGTACGGTAAATCAGTCTAGTCGAGGGATGTATTAACTACGAAAAACGTCTTAGTTGCTATAAGTGAAGTGTTAAGTTTAGAAATATTTAAGTGTTAGTTTAAAAATATTCAACACAGTCTGTGCACACTTGTGCATAGTCTGGTGCGTTACGAGTATAAAATTAGCTCTGTCAGTGTCAGTCACCAGTTGGTTCGTACTTGGTACCACTAGTCTGTGAATTTCCCTAAGTGTCATTGTGTTCACTGTTCAGTGTTATTACTTATTTGTTTTTATGTTTTTCTACAAACTACCCTCAATACGTTTTTCTTTAGTAAAGTTAAGTAGCTACATAAACCGGTAACTTCTAATTCCCAGTAGTATATCGAGGAGAGAAGACAGTTAAGTAGTTGCAATTTTGATGAAGGAAGTTTATTTCATAAATTGAATTAAACTTTAGTAGTTTTTATAATATGCCGAGAAAATGCATATTTGGTTGTACGAACACCGGTAAGTTCTTTTTGTTGTTTATGATTTATAATTCAAGCCGCT